GGTGCATATTCTTCCATTAAAAAAAGAGTACCTTTCCTTCCATGGACATTTTGAATACTTTAATGTATTGTTGTGTGTTTAGTATAGTGTCACCTACATTTAAAAAGTAATGACTTCCCTCTCTGCACTATGACCTCATGACATAGAAAGTAGGTAGATCACCTTACGCAACAACAGGTGTGCTCTGCCGTTCAAACGTTTCAGTAATTGTATTTTGTTACAGAGAAAGGGAAGACATTTGCAATTCTTTCTGCAAATGTATATTATATTGGATATTGGATTAAATATTGGCCTAAACAACTGATCAAGGGCCTCATTATCCCTAGCAATATAAATGAACTACATCAGCAGTCATGTGATGGCTTAAAGATCACGTGACTTCTTTTTGTGAGTGTTTAATGCCAGTGATACTTTCTTTTTACAAAAACACTGTTTGGGTAAACACTGAAACCTTTTGTAACCATTTTTTAAGTTCAGTAATTTCTGGTTACTCATTTTAGCAACTATTTTTAATTTGTTTCATTTACTCACTTAGGAGAAAAAAAAGTACTTTAAACATTATCTGCTTTGTCATAATTTCTTTAAAAAGGGACATTTTATATTTTTAGAGCTCCATCCATCCATTTTCTTCCGCTTATCCGGAGTCATGTCGCGGGGGCAATAGCTTAAGTCATAGAATTTTTAGAGCTTTGTTTCAAAAATATGTGACCTCTGTAAACCTCTTTCTGATAATGTGTACTTATAGAGCTCCGGGAGCTGACGTCACTTCTCCCGGCATGCAACAGTTCAAATCGAAACGGCGCCATATTGGCAGGCAGAAGCCCGCAGCTAGACTATTTGTTATAGTCAGAAAACCCAATAAACGGGAAATATGGTAGATTCCTGTTGTGCCTCAGGATGCCAGAAAAGACGCAGACGACATAAGGGATGAGCAGTAGCGGTTTTAGGCACGGGCAGACAGGGCAGTTGCCCGGGGCGGCAATTTTTCATGACACAAAAGGGGCGCACAAGCGCTGAGTAAAAAATAAAAAAGAAAGAAATCTGCGCCGCACCGAGGTTTTCTATTTTCTGTCATATCACAGTGTCTGGATTGGAAAGAGCAAGTTGGCGCCCCCTGCAGCTGCAGGCGCTCCTGCTGACTGAGAGGGTTCGGGTGCTCCGTGCGTGTATGAAGAAGAGGAAGGGGAGGGGTGCTGCGGGGGAATTCATCTCTGGGTCTTTCCCAAATGAAATCAGCAGGTAGGGGCTGAATCAACTGTATTAACATGGCTAAAGTCAATCACATCTTGATGTTCTTCCATTTAACGCACATATCATTCATAATATCATAAACACAGGCCTAACATTCTTTCAGGTTTTTCTGAATTGTGTGAAATGGCCAATTAAAAAAAGGAAAAGCAAAACGAGTTTGTGGTCACTACCCCATCAAGGTCAAATTGTTTAGTCCAGACTAAAGGAAACTTATTGAGTCAAGAGCCAAACAGAAGAGATGAACATAAAAAGGCTAAAACCACCAGGTGCCCAATTCAGGAAAAGAAAAAAGAAAAAAAGAGGAGAAGGATAAAGGTATGTACGCTCTCATGATGCATGTTTTCAATTTTTTGAACCAGTTAACTGGGATTTTAACAGTTAAATTCGATCAACTAATTGCTAACAGAGCTAATAAGGCTGAAATATTGAAACGGATATTCAAATGGTTCGAAAAAATTCCTTGAATCATTTTTTTCTGATTCAAACTAGGATTTGTTAAATGCTCGCTGCAGCCTGTGGCCTGCCTGAACAACAACAAACACATCATGTTCACATAATAATAAAACAACTCTACAAGCAGAAGAAAACTCCCTCACCACTAACCATCCTGTTTATTTATTGCAGATGGCTAAACTGATTATTTTTTACATGATTTGTTCTGTAAAAGTTGGCTTTTTTGGTAGTCTACAGTTTTTCATGTCAGTTTAAATTACAATTTCAGAGGCAATTCTAAAATATTATGGATCATGATAAAGATCTATTGGAGATCTACCCCAACTTTTGGACTGCTCTGCCAGTCACTATGGCTCAAGCTGAGAGGAGCTTTTCAAAACTTGATCAAGTCATACCTGAGGTCAACTATGTTTCAGGGGCGGCTCACTAACCTGGCTCTGATTAGTATCAATCACTCAGTAGGGGAGCAGATTTCATATGATGACATTATTGATGACGTTGCATCAAGGTTAGGTTTTAATTTTAGTTTGTGTTTTCTGTTCTAAGTGCAATGCTGTAGTGATTATCTTTAGTTTGTTGTGTGAAAATTTTTTCGCTATTTAGAATATTTATTATATATTATGTTCATATATTCTTAATATTTAGTTATTGTTTGTTTTTGTATATTTGATTCTATATATTTTGATACAGTATATAATGTATGTTGCTTTACATTCTGACAACTTCATAGTAATTAATGTAAATATGTGCAACTTGAATGTTCAATAGTTTTTCTAATAAAACATGCCTGTTTGTAGAAAACATGCGCGTGTTTGTGCAGTTGGGGTGGTGTGTGTGTGTGTGTCGGGGGGGGGGGGGGGGGGGGGGGCTCAAAGGGGGCCTCGCCCGGGGAGTAACTCCATGTAGAACCGCCACTGGGGATGAGCCATCTACAGGATTCCCCAAGATCTGGAGCGCCGCAAACATTGGATCATTGTAATAAAACACGCTAGTGACCGGGCTAAAATGAAACTGTGGGATCCCGAGAGTAAAGATTTTCGCTTATGCAGCGACCACTTCATATCAGGTACTCAAACCAACGTTTCCTCAACTGTGTATGGTATTTATTTTAAATGCTTTTATTACGATTCTTAGTGGGCTTCCTAAACTTATTTTGGCGTGGCTTTTTCTGTCTTATTACTCATAGCAACAAGTAAACATCACGTAAAACGTTGCCTCGTGATTTCTGCGTGCTGCCGTTTACGTGTTTTATGATCACAGCAATTAACCGGCTAAGCTGTATTTAATTTTCAAGACCATGGTTGATCAATTGTCAGATCACACATAAAAAGCACTTTGGATTGCTATTATCTGTCTCACCGAGACAGATCTCAGACAGATCCTAAGACGCTCCTGCCTGACATATTTATTTTATTCACGGAAAAAAATCAAACTAGTGATTTCTCTTGGCGTTCAGTTTATACATTCAAACAGCACAGCACTCTGTTTAAACTACTTACATGTAAATCTATGTTATTTGTGTTTTTGTTTAATTAGTTTCATAAATTATAAATGTCAGGGCATCTCAAATCCGGTAAGAGGTCCGCTCTGACAGCTTCTGGCATTTTTAAAAAGTATTCCAGGGGCATGGAAAGGGTCAGAGATGTTTAATCTATTTAATTTCTGACTATATAAAACGATTTCTTTGGTTTTAAAGTGTGAAGTAAACTCCAACGGAGTAAAATCCAAGCCGAACCCGTTCCTTTTGTTTACCTTTGTTGCCTGCCAACATGGCGTCTACTCTCTGAGAGTCACGTGACGACCGGAGCTCTATATTTCTGAGACTCGTTGTGTTCTTATGTTCAATTGCAAATGAAAACAAGTAAAAACTAGGGGTGGGAATTTAATGTGTTAATTATTAATTAGCAAAAAAATGGAGTGCCTCCCAATTTGGGGCCAGAAAAGTTTTGCATCAACATTTTTGTCCTATTAATCAATAAATATAACCAAGCTGCCCATCCAACAAAGCAACAGAGCCTGGGCTACAAGACCATATAAACCGTTGTATGTGCTCCAAACACAAATAAAACTCCAATCATATGAATGATGACAAATCGCTCTTCATAAATAAAAGAAAGGAAGAAAAAAAAATCTGCCTTTTCACCATTATGTTTTCTAATTGGCAGGAAGCAGACAGGCAGTACCTGTACCAAGCATGAAAAAAAATTTCAGCAGAAGGGGCAAGCATACATCTTGTAACTGTCAGCAGAACTTCCCCTGAACTCTACACTACACCTCTTTATACATTAGCAGTGCGCTGCTGCCACTTAGTGTTCAGTTCAGTACACAACATTTGCAATGTTCCATGTCCATTTACACAACATCAATAACACATATACTAGTATTTACAAATCCCAACAAAGCCCACAGTGGTTAACTTTATAATGAGACCAAACTAATCAAACTGACCTTGTGGTTACAGAAATATACTCAATAAAGTGTGGGTATGTCATCTGTGCCTCACTAACATCATTTTTTATTAAAAAATTAGCTTAACCAAATTGTCTTTGGTTAAAATGTGATTAACCCAGATTAATTATTTACAAAGCAACTTAATTAGATTTATTATTTAAATCAAGTCCCACCTCTAGTAAAAAGACCAAATGAAATTTTCAGCAAATATTTAGAATATAAATCACCAACTCCAATCCTCCAGGGCAACCTGCATGTTTTAAATGTTTCCTACTCCAGCACACCTGAATCATCCAACCTTATTGAGTCCTGCAGATGCCCGTAAATTACTTCCTCGTTTGAATCATGTATTTTGGAGCAGGAAGTGTGTGAAATGTGGAGTATGAGATCCACATAAGACTGAAGTTGGTGGCCCCTGATTTCAAACATATTGATGCTGAAGCAAGAATACTTCCATAAAATTACGTCAAATAATTTTTGAACTAACTGATGTTAAAATTGGCCTGCTTGCTCTCCCAGTATTTCTGGCTACAGTTAGGGGAAGGCTAAAAAGTGAGCAAACCAGAGAATATTTTCAGACTAACTGTGGGAGAATACTGTCATATAAATGTCAATCCCATTTCACGACTCTGTTATTTTTAAGTTTTTAATCAAGAGGAGTGCCTTTATTTTGAGTGACCTTAATCTGCCGGAGGTTTGATTTATACATGACTGTCCTTGGTGTGTCATAGTCAGATTAAAGACCACTCAGAAAATTCTGACTCTAAATCAGGATCATTGGTCTGTGTTGTAGATTATTGGTTCTAATGCTCAAAAGTTAAGCTGTACTGCATTTACAAACTCACCTTCATACGGCGACGAACACTATCACGATGTAAATTTTCTTCATCAATTTCTGCTGCCTCATCTTCATCGCTGACCAATCCGGTAAAAGAGTCTCCCAAAATTCCATTACAGTTCTCCTCAAGGCCTCCAATCTTTTTGGCCTTTACAAGAATCTTTCCTTTAAGATCCTGGCAGAGAAGTCCAGATACAATAACATTAATGCCTATGTTGAACATAAACAGCTCTCAATTTGCCAAAATGCTAAAGACTGCCAATACATCATTTGGTATGCCCACTGGAAATGTAGACACTACAGACCTGGGGTCTCATTTATCAAACATTGCGTAGAATCCTTACCAAAACCGTACTTATGATCAGCAAAAAAAAAAAAAAAAAACTTACGCCAAGCAGGTTTGTGATCTATCAAACATGGAGTATGCACAGCTGCACGCAATCTCCACTTCATAAATCGGAGACTAACAAGAATGTTTCTCAGCTGCTTTTTAGTCACATCCCGCCCTCACCACGCCCACTTACTGCCATAAGTAGTCAATGCAAAGTGCCTTGTGGATCTCATGCATGTACATAAGCCGGCGACCGTAGATTAAGGCAGATCAAGGAAGCGCTATTTCACAGAAGCAGAAATTGAGGTACTTGTGGGTGAGGTGGAAAAATGAAAGGAAGTGCTTTTGCAAAACAAATAAGAGAAAATCCACGGAGTGGCACAGCGTTGCTGAAGCCGTCAATGTTGTGAATTCTTCAGAGAGATCTGTGGAGGGTATTAAGAAAATGGTCCGATTGGGATTTGATCCCCAGACTCCCAGGTGAAAGTCACACACACTAACCAGTCAACCAAACAGAGATCTCCCCTGCTCAACTAGCCAGGGCACATGATCAATCGGGTCACAGTGACATGACATTCTGTCTCAATCTGTCCCCCTGCTGATATTCTGCATTCCATATTCTGTGCTTCAGGCTGTGTGTGTGTGTGTGCGTGCGTGCATGTGTGTGCATGTGGGGGTCTTGTTCTGTGTGAAAATGAAGCAGTACAAGTGATAATGCTGCAGGATTTCATAATTTTATCCTTCTCAGCAGCAGCACTGCAGGTGCTCTCCATGTCCAAAATGTGCGTAAGCCAGGTCCTTAGTCAACATAAAGTTGCGCACATTTTCCCGCTAAGTTTTCTTTCATAAATCCCAACGTTTGCGTGGAAAGTTGCTTACGCAGTTTTCCGACCCCGTTTTGTGTGTAAGCAAGCTTGATAAATGAGGCCCCAGGATGTTCTAAAAATGGATGAAATAAAAGTTAAAGGTCAATCTGTGCTCTGACAAGTAACGGATTACATTTACTTGTTTTATTACTAAAAGAATCACATACATGTGTACGAGATAATTCAAAATGTATTAAAAATCTAAACTTTTACTCAAATGTTTTATTTATTGAGTTTAATTATAGTCACGATTGTGTTGAGAAGAAAAATCAGATCAAATATAAAACACTTCCCACAAATCCACTGCAGCAACAAACGAGCTGAAACACCAAGATAGACAGTAGACTAGATGGTGTCATTCTCTCCCTTATTAAAAGCAAACTAACTAAAACTATTAGCATCAAACCGGTGTGAGCATGGACGTAAGGTTGAAAACTGCTTCAGCTGAGGCTTATGTGTCAAAAAACTTTTTACATGGTCTGAGCCTTTAGAAAACAAAACATCACATTTTAACAGTCACTGAGTCTACCATGACATCCTCTGTAGAACTAAGTATTAGAGTCCAATGTGAATCCATATGTCCAACAGACAAAGTTTGGACTGAACCAGGTCATTTAACATGAAGATCCAAAAACAACAGCAGAACAACAGAATGACTAAAAGAAAAAGAATAATCAAGGTTTTGTATGGTCCGAAGTCCTGACCTGAAAAGGACAGAATGCTGACGGAAGAAGAAGACGAAGAAGTAGATGAAGAAAAAGAGAAAGAGAAAGAAAAAGAAAAAAAATAAGAAGAAACATTTATTTATATAACGCCTCTCAAGATAAAAATCATGAGGCGCTTCACAAGGACAAAAACAAAAACTTAAAAAAATGATTAAAAACAAAAAACTAAAAAGTAAAAATTGTGATAATAAAGGAAAGAGAAAAAAGACAATGAAAAAGAAGGAGGTAATCAGTGGATCCCCTGAAAGGCAGAATTGACAGAAAGAGCAGAATGAGGAGAAGTTAGTGATGAAGAATCAACCAGAGGTCAAAAGCCAGCCTTAAAAACAACCAAAGCAACAAATGACCAGAAAGCATCCAGAACTAGGTGGTTGTGCATGCTGATGGATTTTCACTCACAGCTTTTATATTTTCCATTCATTCGTCCATTTCCTTCTGCTTATCTGGAGTCGGGTCGCGGGGGCAGCAGCCTAAGTCGCGAGGGCTAGACTTCCCTCTTTTATTTTTTGTTTAGTAAAATATGATGCCATGATGGAATCCTGTGTTATTTTCTGCTCTTGAGGTTAGGTTAGAATCATTGAAAAACATGTAGCTTACCTCTGGAGACGGCAGCCGACTTGAGACCTTGCCTTCCAATGTACTTTTCAGCAACTTGTCACCAAGGATGTGGTTGAGGTGTTGGGCCATGACTCTCTGTTGTTCAACACAACAGTGGTTTTCAATAGACAGGATGACTGGATATTCTGAGACCTGAAGAAAGTTGACGTTAGAAGCAGGTGATTGGAGTGCAATTTAACACTAAAGAGTATTGTCATGAAGGAAAAACAATTCACCTGTAGCTGTACACGTATAAGTTATGTCTGGTTGGCTTAAAGACTAGCAAATGGATTGACAAGAGGTCATAAAGCCAGAACCATCTGTTGCACACTGACACTTAACCAGAGCAGAGAATGGCATGCATTTGAACTTGGTACCTGCTCACCTTGACATGGGACTGACATGAAAACTTTGTCAGATAACTTCTTGGTGCTTTCAGAATATTTAGTTCATATCATTTTACTGTCCTTGTACTTGGCATTTTCCATTTATTTGGGTCTGGGTTATGGGGCAGTATAGTTCTAGCATGAGAGCCTTGAGCAGTGGTTCATGAACCTTTCAGCTTCAGACCAATAAAATAGAATTTTTCAAGACATGTGACCCCATATATTTCTAATTTGATAATATAAACATGCTTCACCCACATGGTCACCCACAGTGGAATCCTTACTACAACTTGGAAAACCAATAGCCTAGCATCCTGTCCATGGCTACTTCCTCCAGTAAGACCTCTAGGTGTTATCAGGCCAGCCGAGAAATGTATTTCCTCTAGCTGTCCCATGCTACCTCACGGATCTCTTCACATCTTCCTGAAGGGGAGAGGGTGGCAGATGAGGTTTGTGCCCATCCCGTAACCAAAGGGTTGCAAGCTCGAGAGCCTCCAGGGGAATCCTAATGAGTTCCCAGGCCAGCCGTGAGGCATAGCCTCTCCAGCGTGTCCTGGGTCTTCCTTTAGGTCTCCTCTGGGTTGGACATGCCCGGAAAACCTCACCAGGGAGGCGTCCAGGAGGCATCCTAACTAGATGCCCAAGCCACCTCAACTGGCTCCTCTCGATGTGGAGGAGCAGCGGGCCTACTCCAAGCACCTCCCGGATGTCCAAGCTTCTCACCCTATCTCTAAGGAAGACCACAGCCACCCTGTGGAGAAAACTCATTTCAGCCGCTTGTATCCACGATGGCATTCTTTCAGTCACTATCCAAAGCTTGTGACCATAGGTGGGGGTAGGAACGTAGAATGACTGATAAATCAAGAGCTTTGCCTTCTGGCTCAGCTCTCTCTTCAACACAACAGATCAGTATAGCCCCCGTATCACTGCAGACGTTCCATCTTTCCCTCACTCGTGAACAAGAACCTGAGATACTTAAACTCCTCCACTTGGGGCAGGACCTCATTCCTGACTTGGAGAAGGCATTCTATCCATTTTAAACAGGCCATTTACAGGTTTACTAAGGGACATGATCCATGGTCATGGATGGATCTTTCATGGATAACAAACAAGAGTACCAGAATACACACCTTAAGGGTTATTGGGGTCTTACTCAGGAGCAAGATATGGGGATAGGACGCATGTGGAAAAACCTTTTTGTGGATGGGATATCACCCATGTGGCCTGGCTGGACCCAGCCCAAACCTTGCATATGGGCCTGTCCACCTGCAAACCCCCTACTTGCAACAAGACAGTGAAATCTGCCCCTCCATTGACACTGATTTAACTGAAACATTTTCCTTATGTTTAAAGTTTGCAATCAACCAAACATCTTCATGAAAATATCAAACATTTTTAGAAACGCTACCTTGAACGCATAATTTAGCACTGCATTGACCACATCCTTGAAGAGTATTTTTGAGGTGAGTGTGTGCCCGTGATAGACAATGGGCTCTCCATTGGCACCATCCCAGCAATCCACTTCAACACATCGGCAACCACGATTTAGAGCCCTGTGCAATCAATAAAAAAATACTTTGAAACGTGTTTTTTAATCCAAATATTCAGCCGATAAACCAGAATTAATCTTCTGGAACGATTTCATAATAACACTCACTCAATGAAACTCTTACTTATGAATGACTGGAGAAAGCTAAATTTGGGCCACAGTCACAATAAATCACATGGGGGCATACAACCACGCCCTGACTCAGACCAACATACAGTGGGAACGGAAAGTATTCAGACCCTCATCAATCTTTCACTCTTTGTTAGGTCTGAATACTTAGGACCATGTGATAATTCAGTTTTTTTTATAAATCTGCAGAAATTTCTACAATTCTGTGTTTTTCCTGCCAATATGGGATGCTGTGTGTACATTAATGAGAAAAAAAATTAATAGATTTTATCAAATGGCTGCAAATTAACAGAGTGAAAATTTGACGGGTTTGAAAAGTTTTTCAAGATTCAAGATCATTTTTATTGTCATTGCACAGGTGTACAACGAAACTGACTTTGGGCTCATTAAAGATTCGTACCCACTGTACAAGGCATTAACTTAGTCAAGTCTAGACTGGACAAAGGCATAAATGACAGACTGTAGGACTTTACCTACGCCTCTAAAACTGCCATTTCCTTGTGTTATGCTCTTGTGGATTTTAAATGGAACTTTTAAGTATTCGCTTTTATATTTTGCTAATGTTCGGCACTTTGTACAACCCTCATGTTGCATCTGAAAGTGCTAAACAAATAAAATGGTATGATAGCTTTCCCACAGTCTGCCAACCCATGTAGATCCATCTGTGTTACCTTATGTATCCCTCCACACTGCTCTGTCCTCTGAGCTGGTCCTCCATCAGATATGTGTTGTGGGAGGAAGAGATGAAGTAATGGCACAGCGGCCGAGTCATATCCTGGAAGATGCCCCTTCGCTGTGGGTTGAAGATGGAACCTTCAGATGAGCCGAGGTACATCAAAAACCCGTCAAATGTCATGGCCTTAAGCAGCTTGGCTGGATGGGAACAAGGTTTTATCAGAACCTTCTCACATACCAACAGGATGTAACATCTATTCATCTTGTGTTACCTGTGTCTGACGGCTCATAGCCTTCAATGAGCTGCTGGGCATGTTGATGGACATCACCCCTCTCCAACTGCTCCTCTCTCAAGAAGTCCTCCAGATCACTCTGAGATAACTTTTGACCATCTGTTGAGTATTCCTGGAAAACTCTCAGAATATCTTCCCGCTCTGTCAACATTTTGTAGAACAGCACAAACTCATCATCCTCCAGTGAACCAGTCTGGGATTTATCCGCCATCTGATGAAAAGAGCATACAGTGTGGTGTAGCGTACCAAATGGCCAAGTATTTCATCAGTATGACCATACATGTCAATCTGACACCGTGGTGCCGATATGAAGTCTGTGAACTTGAGCCAATATTCTTAACTTATCCTGCGGTACGTCACAAGTTCTCAAGGCTGCAGAAGATGCAGGACTTCTTATCTATCCTCTTTGAAAAAAGTTCATCTTCCCTGGCTCATAAAAGGATGTTATAACTTTATAGGTTTATGTAATCATATTTGTTGAATGGACGATACAGTATGTTTAAATCCAAAGTTTTTTTAATAATGTGTCCAATACTCTACATGAATTAATGATGGGTTAACATGAATGTTATTACTGTAATGATTTATTTCAGATTTTAAACCACACCAGATTAGTATTTGTTGAGTTTCATAATGTTATTCTATTAGTAAGAACACAATAATATTACCATATTATTGTTAATGATTAATATATTCCCTTCACATAATGTCTGACATTTTACCTCACATTAAGAAAAAACCTCTCTGAGTGTCTGAGTGGAGGAGGGATGTCTGAAGTATTTTGGTAACGCATTTAATCTTGTCAAATTCTGATTTGTCTAAATTTGTAAACACTGGTTAATAAAAGCTAGTTCACTTCCCGGACTAGCCATTTCCAAGCCAGCTTCCCAGTTTGGCAGACCGGGTGAGCAAAGCACTTGGGACCATCCGCTCTTTTGACTCACGTTCAAAGCCTCTTTGCAACGCTTGCAAGCGGCATCAGATGCAACAACTCATCAGACGTGGAACGCCTCACTAGCAGACCCTGGTGGCATCTTATGGCCGGTAATGATTTAATTCAAAGGAAACTGTGACTCTTTGAGATTCCAGGAGCCAATCCATCTGGTGACATCACCAATCTGAACCACCCAGGGCTTCCATCACAGGTATCGCAGATCTGCACACCAGTGTCAGATGGTTTTATGAATAACTGATAGCTTGTCAAACCATACAGACTGATTTTAACACCCAGACATCACAAATTTCTCAGATACTTAACAAGGTTTTGCTACAAAACATGTAAGCTTACCTTCCATCATTTCATTCTTTGTCTCCGTTATCTTGTCAAACCATTATTCATCATAATTTGTTCTGTGTCATCATTAGTTTAGAATATAAAATTAAAGTCATTTTTATAAACTATATTCTTGACTCTGTCTGAATTAATATGAAGTGTGTGTCTGAATGGTCCAAAGAACCTAAGCTCATAATAAATCAAACATTTAAAGACCAATCAGATTGATAATTCATATTTATAAGGAAAATCACACCTTATTGATCATTTAATAATTGTAGCCACTTCCATCATGTTACAGTGGTTTTCTGCTGGATGCTCACACCATCAGGCTTCTTTAAGATTCTCACCATGAAAAGACGAAGAGCATGATGTTCATTCATGTCAACATTCATCATTCTTAGAAGGTCTTGCACTTCTTTAAAGTTCATCCTGCCATCGTTGTTCTTGTCTGCTTTCTTAAACCAGTCACCAATCCATCTGAGAACACTCTTTCAGGAAACTCATCAGGTTAAACTGAAGAAAGGACAGCTTCTCTGAGTTTGTAGAACTACACTGCCCAATGGACCCTTTCATTAAAGGAGCCTGCGAAGGTGAAAAACCAATTGTTTTAATAAACATCAGTATAATTTAGTATCTAATTATATACTTTTGAACATCATGTTATGAATAAGATGCATTACATGGTAATAAATCTGGAACATGCTAACTAACTTCAGCACAGGGCATGTGATCTTATATTTTATGAGAAGAGCAAGGCGTTTTTTCTTGTTATTCCATAACTTTAGTCCCAACAGAATAAAAAGTAGTCTCAAGCATTTCTTTAGTATTTTTATGGTTTGAAACTGCATTAAGTTAAGAACTCTGAGTAAAGGATACTGGTCCAGCTTTTCTCTTTCCCCCATGTTCTCCAGACTCTCTATCAGCTTCCTCATGCCTTTGATCCAGGACTGTGCTTCCTCGGCCGACTCGGCCACCAGGTCCAGGTTGCTCCTACGGCTGCGGAACACCAGCGTGAAGCATCTGTCAGCCGGGAATTCATCTGCGATGCTGAGCAGAACCTCACTCTGATGGCCCTCTCTAATTGCCTCCACATCATTCACTGAAACTGGATTTAAAACACCAGCAGAAAAAGAGCATGTTCATTCGTCAGTGTTACCCAGACACAGATCGTTGCTAGGGACAAACGGGCAAAAGTTAATAATTCCTAGATTTGATATCTCATTCTCCACAACACAAGCAACCAGAAAAATATAAATTTGATTTCAGGCCATTTCAAAAACCCATTATACCTTAAAGCAGCTCAGTAATCTAAATTACAACATCACAGCTTTAACTTAAAACATGTCCAAAGAAGAAAGATGCCTATTGAGTTGTTGTTCAAAGTTAATTAAAGAGTAAATTAGGACTCACATTCTGATAATCTGGATTAAAACAAATGACCAACATGTTGAGTTGATGTGCTATTGTTGTAATCTGTTTTTAGTTTTCTATTTCAATATTTGTTTGCACTTTTTGTCTGGGGCGACGGTGGAACAGGAGTTAAGTGCTCGCCCCGTAATCGGAAGGTTGCAGGTTACATGTTTGAGCCCCGCTCAGTCTGTCGCTGTCGTTGTGTCCTTGGGCAAGACACTTAACCCACGTTGCCTGCTGGTGGTGGTCGGAGGGACCGGTGGCGCCAGTGCTCGGCAGCCTCGCCTCTGTTAGTGCGCCCCAGGGCAGCTGTGGCTACATTGTAGTTCATCCCCACCAGTGTGTGAATGTGTGTGTGAATGGGTGAATGACTGATTGTGTTGTAAAGCGCCTTGGGGGGTTCCAGGACTCTAGAAGGCGCTATATCAAATACAGGCCATTTACCATTTAATTGTACAGTACTTTATGATTGAATGTCTGTGAAAAGCACTTGAATAGAAAAACTATTCAAAAAGTAACTAAGTAAAAAGAACCAAAGTCAACAGAAATGCTAGGCTGCTGCCACAGACTCAATAGGGTCACCCATAGACATACATACATGGACACTTTGTGTACTGGCGCTGCCTTTTGGAGCTGCCATAGTGGCCTGCCGCCATTTTACATGGGTCTCCATTTGCCCCCTGTGCATTATTTCCATTGAGGAAGGTGCTTACCCAACTAAAACACACATTTCATCAAGCTTTTTCACACAATCATACACAAGATATGGCATGATAATTAAAATATAAAGTTAAACAAAATTAATACAAATATTTGCCACATGTGGTTCATTGGTGTTGTAATGTCCAGTAATGGTCAGTTTTAAGTACAGTTTGACCCTTCAATATCTGGTCGACATGGAGACACGAGTCTGCATGTGTTTCCTTTAATCTGCCGGATTTTGCATCCCTTCAGCTGGAGTTCAGAGCCTTTCTGCAGCTCTGAACATATGATAATAATGTATTGTCAACAGTCAAGGTCTCAAGCTTCCCTTATCGTTCTACAGGACTCTTCATGCCTCTGAATAAAGTGAACACTGTCAGCTCGTAAGAATGAACTCTTAAATATAATGTGAACATTTAAAACTTATAGGTTAATTAATCATTAAAGAATAATTTGGTTGATGAACAAATGTTACATGAACACTAAATGAAATGTTTTGATTAATCTGTGAAATGAAGTATGACATTGATTTATATATGGATCAGTAATGTTTGACATGACAAGGCCATCATCGTCTACACTCTCACAAGGTTCATCAAGGACAAATTAAAGTTAAGTCAAATGCGCTGCCGAGTTATCTTCCCGCTGCGCAAGAAGTTCATCCAGGATGGGAAGCGGGCTGTGATCTCCGTGGATAAACTGGTTGTTGACGGTAAGATCTACAAAGAACGAGGAGTAACAGACTGGCTTTATTAGACAAACTTCAGGTACAACTCCATGGCACAATTTTTTTCCCCTCTTTCCACACTGCAGCACACAACTTGCGCACGCGTACACACACACACACACACACACACACACACACACACACACACACACACACACACATTTAGACTCCATACACAGTCACACGGATAAGTAGCCTAAGGCGTTTCATTGCACAATCAAATCACTGTTGGGCTTGCCTTGTTATTGTTATTATTATTATTATTGTTTTTGTTTTATTATTATTATTTATTTATACTTTATCAGCATTAATATTTTTATATTTATGTTGTAGGAAAAAAGAATTATTATTATTGTTTTATTTTTTTTTGCTACTATTATTGTAATTTTTTATTAATGTTGCAAATGATAATAATGATTATAATAATACCCTTATTATTTACTCTCCATTATTTACTATAAGATTAATGTATGCGTTTAATTACTTTTTTTTATCTCATACACATGAAGGCGTCATATTATAGCTACACACACATCTATGGGTGCACTAAGGGTTGTCTCATGGAACGTACATGGAGCTGGCTCTAGAGAGAAGAGATTAAAAATTTTTGATCAGTTAAAAAGAGTGCAAGCAGACGTAATATTATTACAAGAGACTCATAGATCTGCCACATCTGCAGATGAACTTAAAACACCTGAGTTTCCCAGCATGTTCTCTGCCTGCTATAACTCTAGGCAAAGAGGTGTAGCTATTTTAATACACAAAAACATCAATTTCACAGTATTGGACACAATTTCAGATCCAGAGGGTAGATTTATAATGTTAAAAATATCTATACAAAACCAAAGCTTATTTATTGTCAGCATATACTGTCCAAATATTGATGACCCTCCATTCTTTCATAATTTTTTTCTCTGTACTCTCCGAACACTTGGGCTGTCCACTTATACTTGGAGGTGATTTTAATTTTTGGATGGACACTTTAACAGACAGGCTCAGTACAGCTGGGACTCAGCGCAATTGGCAATCCACTAACATAGTAAAACAGTACATGAGTGATTATGGGCTTTGTGATGCATGGCGATCTCTTCATCCCAACCGTAGAGAGTATACTTTTTTCTCACACGTCCATCAGTATCAATCACGTTTGGATTATATTCTGGTCAGCAGCTCATTGTTGGCTGACATTTCAGACACCGAGATACACCCAATAGTTGTCAGCGACCATGCTCCGGTTTCTTTAACTCTGGTAAACAAGAAGACAATCCCACCAAGCAAAAACTGGAGGTTTAAAACATCACTGCTTAAAGACAAAGGTTTTATTCATTTTTTTTAAAAAGGAGTGGGCTTTATATTGAGAACACAATGACCTGCCTGGAACATCAGCATCTATTCTCTGGGAGGCAGGAAAGGCAGTGATGAGAGGTAAAATAATCTCTGTCTCATCACATAAGAAAATAACAGAAAACAAACGTATTCAGGAGTTAGAAGAAATCGTTAAGTCTTTAGAGGCGTCCACAGAAGAAGAGTTACTGAGTAAATTACATAAAGTTAAATTAGAACTTCTTGGAATTATTGACAAAAAGACACAATTTTTAGCACAAAGACTATGAATAGAAAACTTTGAACAGTAATAAATCAGGTAAATTTTTGGCTAGCCAGTTAAAAAATGAATAAAGAAAAAACTACCATATCTGCTGTTAAAGATTCAACCAGGAATATAGTTTATGGCCCTGAAAGAATAAACAACACTTTCAGAGACTTTTGCCAAACTTTGTACTCACCACAGATAAACCCATCAGATATCGAGATCAATGAATTCCTTGACAGGATAATACTTCCTAAATTATCAGACAGCCAAGCTACAGTCCTGGACTCGCCACTAACATCAGCTGAGCTCCAGGAAGCCCTTAAATCCATGCCTAATAGGAAAGCTCCAGGTCCAGACGGGTTTCCAGCAGAGTTCTACAAAGAATTCTGGATCATTCTAGCTCCAGTATTTTTCAGAATGGTGAGGGAAATCAAAGAGAGCGGTAGACAGCCAAACATTAATTCAGCCAATATTAGTCTCTTGTTAAAACCAGGCAAAGACCCTGCATTTCCTACCAGCCATCGCCCAATTTCTCTTATTAATGTTGATCTCAAAATAATTTGTAAAGCCCTGGCCAAAAGATTAGAGAAGGTAACCCCCTTCATAATACACCCTGACCAAACTGGTTTCATCAAGGGTAGACAGTCATCCACAAACCCGCGTAGATTACTTAATTTGACAGATTTCTCTTACAGTAAAATTATAGAAACTAGTATATTATCTCTAGATGCAGAAAAGGCTTTTGATAGAGTTAAATGGAAGTTCTTATTTGCAACTTTACATAAATTTGGTTTTGGGAACTTCTTCATAAACTGGCTACAAACATTATACAGTTCACCAACAGCACGTGTCAGGACAAACGACCAAATATCAGCTAGCTTCTGTCTTCAGAGGGGGACCAGGCAGGGATGCCCTCTTTCCCCCTCACTGTTTGCTATCTTTATCAAACCACTAGCGGCAGCAATTAGGCAAACAACAGATATTAAAGGGATAGAGTGTAAGAAAATAGAACATAAGATCAGTCTTTATGCAGATGATGTTTTACTCTTTCTCCAGAATTCTCAATCCTCTCTCTCCCATTCAATAAAACTGATAAACTCTTTTTCAAGAGTTTCAGATTACTCTAAAAAATGGTTAACATCCACAGTTCTACCAATTAATTTCTCTTTTGTCAATTTGCTTAATACACAATTGGAGTCAGGGAATATCACATACCTGGGAATTAATTCTCTCCCAAGCTGGCAGATCTAACCAAACTAAACTACATCCCACTTTTAAAGAAAGTGGAAGAAGATCTTGTAAGTTGGAAATCCTTACCAATATCACTCATGGGGAGAGTTGCTACAATTAAAATGATGGTCTTACCCAGAATAAATTACTTATTCTCGATGATCCCAAACAAACCACCAGCTGACTGGTTTAAATCTTTTGACTCCTCAATTACTAAATTGCATTAACCAGTATATAAATCTTTTGTTATATCATATTACACTTGATTTAGCCTCTGCTTCCACTTCAAATCAATCTCTCTGGGCTCCTGTGATCGGTTCCATCACATAGCGATGATGGGGGACCGTTGATGTTGTCCTGCGGGATGATGTGGGGGTGGGGGTGGGGGTGGGGGGGTCTGAGTTTGGAGTATTCAGATGTTCCCTGGAGGTGGGTTCACTGGGGGTGTCTGGGACTGGGGGGCCATTGCCCCCCTCTGGAGGTGCTTGGGTTGCCTCGTGGGTGGACTACTGGTGGTTGTGAGTGGGGCCCCTTGGAGGTCTTGGCGGAGCCAATGGGTCACTGCCTGGCAGCTGCATTGCCCCTGGATGGGTCTGGGTGGGGGCCTGGGGGCTCGGGGTGTGGGGGTGGCCGGCCCCGTGTGGGGATCTGGGCGGGGCCTTTGGGGTTGGGTCCTGACATGTATACTGCCGGGAAGAAGGCAGGAACATGCAGCAGTGCCTGGCCCGGGTTCAGGGGCCTCGAGTAGACCTTGGCTCCTCTGCTGTCCCATCACAGGGGAGGGGGAGGTCCAGGAGGGGGAGGACCCAACCTTACCTGGGTGTCCTATGTCTTATATATTCTGGAAGTTGTGCAAATGCAGCGTGCAAAGATATTCTGCTGGGATGGGGCTGGGTTGGTGCCCTCGAACTCCGTGAGGCTCTGTAATGCTGCTGCTTTGGGCCCTGGCAGGATGGGCTGGGGTCTCCATGCCCTGGGTGGCAATTTGACAACAGAGGTGCCTATTGGGGCCAGTGGGGGAGCTGGCTCCCTGGAGGGCAAAGCCCAACCAGCCATTCCTCCCCATCCCCACATATTTCTCTCCTCATGCTCCCTCACATCAACACACAAACATGCACATAGGACCTTGGGGGGTGGACAAGTCAGGGAGTGCGGGTATGGACCCCATTTCCGCATTCCTGTGGCAACCTGCCCCCAATTTTATTTGCACCTTATACACTTCCACTGATGACATACCACGCAAACACACACTTAGGGCCTTGGGAGTGAGCACATTCAACGGCACTTGGCAGGGGGATTTCTCAGCCTCCTCCCGAGTGCCGGTGCCCACTTCCAATTTTAAACTGCACTTAGACACCGAGGGATGTGGGTGCAAGTGGGGTGGTGCGGTGGCATCCGCTGGCATAGGCCAGACAATGCCCGCACTGCCCGCTCACCACAGCCATGGAATACACCTCATCAACACACAACACTATATTGGAGCAGGCGGAGGGAGATTAGGGGTCTTAGCACACCTCTGTTGTTGCTTGGCTTCCTGGGGCTGGAGACGAGGAGGGAGATCTGGCCATCTGGTTGGGGTTTGGGGTGGTGGATTGCTGTGCTCAGCGTTGGGCGGGGGAGCCTGCTCATCAGCACTCCAGCAGAAAGGGTCAAACTCTAGTAACCGGTGATGGTTGTACCCAGTGTGCAGCAGTACCGGGACCAGAGTGAATAGGGTGTGTATGGGGAGCAGGAGTGGGTGTCCGGCGTGCATTTTTGTAAGTCTTTGGTTGTATGTGCATGTGTGAGCATGAGGGAGGGAGTGTGTGACTGTGTTTGTGTATGACTGTATATGTCAGGTGGAGCCATTGACTCCTCCCATCTCCTGGAACTTCTTTTGATGATATAGATCTTCATCTCCCCTCCTCCTGCCACACCTGGTGTGGAGTGCGGTGCCTTGTTCTGCCTGAGTGTTCGTGGCTCCCGGAGCAGGGGGTTTAAGATTTTGGGTGTCTGCCTGATCAATCCCAGTGGCTGCCTGGTGGAGTCTGGGTCCCTGGGCTCTGCTGGGTCCCCGGCGGGGGTGGTCGCCCCTGGGTCCCGGGTCGCTGGGTCTCGGGCTCGGCCGGCTAGGGGGTGGGAGGCTGCGGGCGTGCCTGTGGGCTTGCCGCTGATATCTCCAGGGACTCTGCCGGCTGCTGGTTGTGGCCCCCCGGGGCGATCGTCTGTGCCTTTCGAGTGGGGCGGGGGCCTTTCTGGTTGCAGTCTCCTTGGGGTTCCTGTGTTCTGGGGCAGCGCCTGGATCTCTGGGACTTGGAGCTCCCCCCGTCTCCTACACATCTTTGGGGGGCGGTCCCTCACACTCTATTGGACGCTCCTATAGAGAAACCTTACATAAACAAGCGTATGTACACACACAGGTGCTCACATGGTGCTCTCAAAATTATGGGCTTGGGCACGTTCAACACATGTCTTAAGGCGGTCGTTGCCACAAAATGCACTGTGATTTATTATCGTGTGATTGTTCAGTTAAACAATGTTGATTTTATATTTCATCATCAGGTTGATGCAGTGATAGCTTGCCCCTGATGTATTGTGTGTCCCTGTTTTTTTCTGCTTTCTCTTTCTGCAGGTCCAGAAGCAGACTCTTGTCATTATTGTTTATGTTTGTGGAACCCCCCTTCCCCCTCTCTTCCCACCTTTTGTCTTTTCCTTTCTCTTTCACCTCTGACTCCGTGTCTGGTCGGAATTACAAAGCATTCAAAAACAATAAAAATAAAGTTTTATTTATCAGGCGTGACATTAAAAGCAGACGCTTTGATGCTCCACCCGAGAGTAAATCTGTAAGGCTTGTTACCAGCATTCATACATCAATTCTGTTTGCTTCACAGTCAGAAAGGACACGGTTAAAAAAACAAAACAAGAAAGAAACTAAGAAGCAGCCTTGACATGCCATCAAGGTTGTTGCAAAGCTGACACAGCAAACGGTTCCTGCAGAACAAAGCTGGTTTTATTCCGACTCCATAAGAGTCTAGACGCAAACAGTTCCATCCAACCTGTGTGCCTGGCAACATCTCTGGACTGGAGAAGTTGGTGTTGTGGTCAATCTACTGGACCTGGGTGCCCAGAGGTCATCCGACCTCTCTCACCTCCGGATCCGCGAAGAGGGTCTCCGAGAAGGGTGAGGTAGAACACAGTGAGATTGCGTCTGATGCTTTTTGATAATAATCAACTTCATAGCTTAAAGCAAACCAAATTCTTTCACACCCAGAACTCAGCTTTCCTAGATACGAAAGTTCTGTTAACATCGCATTCACACGTAGGCACCATGTACCACATCTCCTCTATCTAGATTCATCCATCACAGAAAATATTAGTTAACTTGTCACGTTTTAATTTTTTTGAAAATAAATTCTTACTTTTACAAACCTGACTCTTTCTTGAATCAAGACAACGTGTTTACAATCCCTGAATAAACAAGAATCCTAGAATCTTCTGATTAAACATACAAAGACCAAGCAGGTTTATATTCTATATTTATATAGAGTATCACAGCTTATTGGTCATAAGTAGAGGTAATATATTGAGCTCTTAAAGCACCAACTCCTACAGTGTCAAGAACTTCTGATCAAGGGCACCTAGTTGTACCTCCTCCATGATTATTCTGAGTCAGGGTGGGTTAGCTCACTAGAAAAGCAGATGTGTTTTACCTAGAATTCTTACATAATTGCAATGTTTTAATGCCATTATTGAGGTATGTATGTGTACATGTGTATGTATGTATGTTTGTCTATACACACACACACACACACACACACACACAAACACACACACACACACACACACATACACACACACACACACACACACACACACACACACACACACACACACACACACACACACATGCATATACACACAAGTAAAAAGTTAAACATCCTGTGTGGTTAATTGTTTTAAACTTATAAGAATCACACAGTGATTTTGTGAGAGGCATAAGAATGTATTTCAAATAAAAACAAGAACTATGTGTACTTACACGTGGAGTGGGCATTCCCTGCTTTTTTGGACTTGTACCAGATGGTCATGCAGTCGTCCTGCAGCTTGAAGTATCGCTGCTTTTTCCAAGTACGAGATTTGATTTTCCTCATCACCGTTCCCACGAGCATAGACTGGAGGTTATCATCCCCCTGACTCCCTAGAAGTGAAGATTAAAAAAACACTTTTAACATCAATCTAGTGACCTTTCATGTGTTAATTCTAAAGGTTAGGTTTACTTACGGATGCCGCTCCCTGTAGAAGCCATTAGTTATCTCTTTATGCCATCTAAAAAGCAGAAATAATGCGGTGATTCAATAGCAGCGCTTAATATAGTTGTAACTTGTAACAGACTTTGATTTGACAACAAGGACGTTAAGGTTGAGTTGAAAATACATACACTAAAACTGATATTTAGATATTATACTGGAGAAATGTAGGATCACAGTGAAAAGGAAGCCCACCCTCTTTCAGTTCTAAAGTTTTATGTAGCTTAAAAATTATCTGAGGTTTTAAAACTATTCAAATTTAACCTCAAGTCTAAAAAGACATCCAGTTTGGTCCAAACCATCTGGTAGACAGATGAACTTCTATAGACTCTAGAACAGAGAAGCCCAAACCATCAGCCTTCTACCACTGTACTGACAGGTGATTCCCACCAAAAGTGGAGCTGTGCATTATGGGAAAATATCTCTGCTTTGGTTTTATTGTCCCAGAAGTATTTAGTAATGAAATTACTAAAAATTACACAATTAAATAACGAAACTTTACCAACATGAGTCCTGCTGCCATGTTGTTTTAGAGATCAGAGGTTTACTCCTGGAACTCTTTTAACCAGGCCAAACTTTAGCCATCTTTTTTAAACATTCTGTCATGAACTTTATGTAATCTGCTAACTGAGGCCTAGAGTCAGAGCTTTGGCTCTTATTTATTCATTCATTTGATTGTTTGTTGTCATTTGAGAGGGGACTCCCCCTCCTGAGAAGATCAGCTGTCCTAAATGTTTGTTCTCTGTAGAATTAGGGATCGTTTAGAAATGACTGTTGACCCCTCCCAGATTGAAAGGCAGCAATAGCCGCTCCTCTGGTGTTAACATGTGCCTGTATGCTCCAGAGCAGCAGACTGACTGACAACTACTGAAAAGTGGATAAATTATTATGTTATTATGTTCTGAAGAATAAAACTAGAACTGAAACAAGATGGACTTTATTCTTAACATAATTGTGATTCACATTGAATTCATCAGGATATACAAATGTATTTTACTGCCAAATCTTAATTGGGAAAAAATTTAGGAATTTATTTTACCTTAACAGTTTAGGCGAGTTTGACACAAAGCTGCTGCGTGAGGCTTTCAGGTACCATCTAGCATAATGTAGCCCATCCAGCCTGCTTTGTTTGATGGTGAGGTCAGATGCCTCTCAGCTGATTTGGATGCACTTTTGCTTCACTAATGGGTTTACCAGCATTCTGCGCCACCCTGCACTTTGCCACTTGTTCGGTCATTGTGATGTGCTGCTCCCTAATCTTCTCAAATCCCTGCTGCCTTCACTCATGACCTCTGATGACCATCTGTGCCATTTTAGCTCCTGTTTATAACACCTGGCATTCATTCTCATGTACAATGTAAGCTACTGTAAAAGGTTAGTGTAGAAAAACAAACACAACAAAATAAATGTCCGATGGGCTAAAAAATGGCCAACTTTGGCTGTTAAAAACTCTTTTATATTTCAGACTTCAGAGCCCGGGTTTTTCCCTGACCCAGTAAAACTCTGGACCTCTGAAGCGTGGTTTTCCTAACTTGGTGGATTTTTCTTTACTGTAGTTAACTGGATTGCACTCTGGAGTTTGTGGTACCACTTTCGGTCCTTTTTAACGAACAGGCCAGACCCACGGGGGTGTATTAGACATTGCTCCTTCTCGCTGGATTATGAAGTCATCAAGAGACGAATAACAATCCATGAATATGTAGACCCAGTTGGCAACTCAATTTGATCCAAAGCAAAGTTGAGTTGGGATTTGAAGCTGAAACTTTCAGGAAATATTTAGAACATCTATACGCAGAAGCAATAACATTTTCACAAAATCATATCAAAGGATTTTTAGCCACCTGCTGTTAAAATCAAACTCTTAACCCTTTGATACATAATGGTCACTACAGTGGACAGGTACTCAAAATTGTTATTTATTTATTTTGCTGTTAAGCACAGCTGTTGAAGACTTTATTGCATTTGAGCCCCTCCATTTGGACTTCAGTAAGTCAAGCCAACATATTTCATGTTCAGAACGCACGCTGTCCACTGAGGTGGGCATGTAATAAACTATGTGTAAATTAAATGTTACAAAAAATATGTAAACATGAAATTTGTTTCATTCACACCTAAAGATGAATGAAAAATTACATGTGTGAGGGGAGGGGGGTGGGGGGGATGAAAGGAAAAAAAAACCTAGTATGTATTCGTATGTGTATATATGTATGTATATAGATCTATAACTTAATGCTTCTTTCTGTGTAAATTGTTTTCTTTTTCTATTTTTTTTCTCAAATTCATGGGTTGAGATTTTGTCGGCCAACAGGTCCAGGAACTATATTGTTCAATTTCTTTAAGAATCATATGATTATTTCATTTGTATTAATGTTATTTTAGTTAAAAGGGGCAGACAACATAAGTTTTTCTTCTTTCTGTCCCCTTTTTCATTTTGGCTTGCAGCAATTTAGTTCTGACTGTATTTTTATTTTAATGTCAATAAATGAAAATAAAAGATTGAAAAAAAAATTTGTTTAAAAAATCATGGTTGAAGATTTCATGATTCATGCATCAAAGGGTTCATAAATGGTGTGACTTGTTATTCCCCTTTTACTCTATGACTCGTGTAAGCCACAACTGCATACATGTCGATGGTCACAACAGATGTCATTTTGGGCACAATGCACAAAACAAAGCAACAAAATTGAATTATTTTAGTGTCCGCTAAACCAGTCCAGCCACACCTCAACTGACTACCATTAGATTAGCGATGCACTTGTTTATAATGCATATTTATCTACTTACAGTACATTTCATTACAGCTGGATTTAACTTGGTAACATAGTTAATAATCCAACGCTATCACTGCTCTATTAAAGGGTTTTATTCTGTAACAAGTTCAAACACAGCTGATGGCTCGACATGGCTGAGATAACAGTTAAGTCATGGAATGATCTCAGAAAGTAAACTTTATGAATTTTAGATTAAAAAGAGCTCAGGTGCAAAAGAAGCTGAATGTTTGTCTGACCTGCTGGAGGATCATAACCAGTTCCCGGTATTTGATCATGTGACTCGGCCTGATGTGACTGCTGTCCTTCTGCACGACACGATGGAGAGATGAAAGCCAACTGAAGCCTGAGCCACTGATCTTTCTGTCCCTCCCCCTCTCTCTCTGGATCTTTTGTCTTGGTCCTGCTCGGCTAAAGCTGCTCTGAGAGCTGTGATCGGACCATGAAGGGAAGGGTTCAGGTGGACTCTGGTGGCAGCAGCTCCGGCCTCCACCCAGAACCCCAATAATCAGTCTGAAACATGAAGATGCTCTAGTTTTACGTTTAGGGGTGAATGTTTTGTATTTATTCATGTATTTCAATCTTGAAAAAAATAAATTTGCAAAAATGAAAATGTCCAGCATATTTAGTAATAGTCAGAGGTGTGGACTCGAGTCAGACTCAAGTCTTTATTTTGATGACTTCTGATCTGACTTGATAAAATCTATTAAGACTTACAACTTGACTCGGACTTGAACACCAATGACTTGCGACTTGAATCGACTTGCATCTGTTGGCTTGATGATGACTTGAACATATTTGATATTTTAGCACAAAAGTGGCACGACATGGACAAAAATCATGAATCATTCTTCGTTCTGGGTTTGATTCACTGCTAAATGCCGCAGCACTTTGTTTATAATCAGCTTCAGTTGCACTTTCTGCTTGTTTGTGTCATGTTCTGTGTCCCTTTGTTCCCCAGCCCCTCCAGTTCCCACTCCAGGTTCTCCTTTTGTGTTTCATAGCGCCCTCATTTGTCCTTTGTCTGCGTCTCATTTCTGTGTCTCTTTGTGTTCCTCATGTGTCCCCTGGCCTTCAGCCTTCCAAATATATCTCTGAGGTCCTGTGTTCCTTTAGTCTTCTCCAGTCACCCCTCTGCAGTGTTTATAGTTTCAGCTTTTCATTTCATTAGTCTCTTTTATATGTTTTGTCCCACCAGTCTTTGTAGTTCTCCTTCCCTTTAGAATATTAGGCCCTGTCCACACGTAGCCGGGGATCTGCCAAAACGTAGATATTTTTCTACGTTTTGGCCTGTCATCCACACGAAAACGGAGTTTTTTCACACGAAAACGGATCTTTTTAAAAACTCCGGCCAAAGTGAAGATCTGCGTTTTCTCCGTTTTGGGTGTCTGCGTGTGGACAGACAAAACCGGAGTTTTAAGGTCCGCAACGTCACTTTCCGCGACAAAAACATGCTGACATCACGTGTGCGACCTGTGTTTACACTAGCCGGCATCATGGAAGCCCTCAGAGCCGCGCTCTGTCACTACCCGATCCATCAATTGTCCAAGCGCTTTCTGCTTGTTTGTTTTTGCAAGCGGAATTACTGCTCCTTGCGGAAGACCACAGACGAAGGACGAGGTTAAGAACGGGGAAGTACTGCCGCCTACAGGTCTGGCATGTCCTTAACAACGTATTTATCCGGGTACGTGTGGACAGAGTTTGTTTTTAAAACGCGGTGGTGTGGATGCAAGTTTTTGGAGGGGCGGATATTCGTTTTTAGAAAAACCCGGCTACGTGTGGACTAGGCCTTAGTTATGTGGTTGCTTTTCTTGTTTTTAGGTTTTTTCTTAGATCATGTGAGTTCCCTCCCTGATTACGTATTGCTTTCACCTGGTCCTCTCCCCACACACCTGTAGCTCATCTGCCTCCCATCATGCCCCAGTTTATTTAAGCCCCGTCTTGTCGGTCCATTGTTGTTTGTCAGTGTTGTTTTGTGTCTACGTTGGTCTGTCCTCCCCAGAGTTTTGCCCGTGTCCGTGCTCCGTTTTTGAGCTTCTGTTTTTGTACTTTTTGATCTCCTGATCAGTCCCTGGGTTTTTGGACTTTAGCTTCCTGCCCTTTTGGATTTATGTTTTTTTAGAATCATCCTACAAATAAAAGGATTTTTTCTTTACATCTACTCCTGCCTCGTGTCATCCTGGTTTCTGCATTCTGGGTCCTAACATCCCACAAATCGTGACAGTTTGAGCAAATAAATGAAGCTTTAAGAAGCTTTATTTCTGGAATTTATTTATTATCATTGTCATTAAATAGAAGAAGAAGAAATCATTTCTATAGCGCCTCTCAAGAAAAAAATCACGAGGCGCTTCACAAAAACAAAAAACATGTTAAAATATAAAAAAGCATTTAGAAAATGTTTAAAAATATATTTAAGATGATCAAAAATAGGCAATTGTGATAAAAAATGTTAAGAAAGAGAGAGTGAATAGGAAAGAGGGAAATCAGTGGATCCTGAGGAAGGTGGAATAGGTGAGGAGAGCAGAATAAAGAGAGTGTTGAAGAAGGTCATAAAAAAGCCAGCTTGAACAAGTGAGTCTTCAGCTGCTTTTTAAAGGAGACCACTGAGTCCACTGATCTCAGGCTCAGGGGGAGAGAGTTCCAGAGTCTGGGGGCCACAGCAGCAAATGATCTGTCACCTTTGGTCTTTAGCCTGGTGCGCTGCACAACCAGTAGGCTTTGATCACTGGACCTCAGGGACCTGCTGGGGGTGTAGGGACTAAGAAGATCACCAATGTAAGATGGTGCTTGTCCATGTAAGGCCCTATAGTCCAGAACCAGGATCTGTAAATGAACCCTGAAGTTGACTGGCAGCCAGTGAAGCTGGAGGAGAAGCGGGGTGATGTGGGTGTGTTTGGAAGTTGGACAGATGACTTGATCATGACTTGAAAATTCAAAGTTAAGAATTTGGACTTGACTTGGACTTCCACATCATGACTTTGGACTAGACTTGGACTTGGTTGTCTTTCACTTGGACTTTACTCGAGAATTGACTGGAAAGCCTTGTGACTTGCAAAGCAGTGACTTGGTCACACCTCTGGAAAACTCAACAAAACCCACTTAAAACATGAACTAGTAATTCATGATACATAAGTGCTGTATCTAATTCCTACATTACAGTGCTGCAGCTCCCTGACTGCTATTTGTCTGTTGTCTGTCTTGGATTTTGGGTTGAATTTGCCCTCACTGCTCAGGTGAACCAGAAGAGAAAGCCCCGCCCCCTTTGGATCTGCTCAGGTAGACTGAAACATCACTCAGTGGGCTGACAGGACGTTGGACTTACATGGCTGAAAAGGTCTTCTGATAGCTTGGATGCTTTTTTTTCAATTATAGTTTAAATGTTAAGATTTTTGATGATGTCATGGTGATGATGTCACACCAACTGTTCGGCAGTTCAAACTTTAGAAAATAGTAGAAAACAAACTGGTCCTGCTCCCACAATGACTTTTATTTTTCATACAAACAGTGCATCAAATTGTAGTTTGGTCTTACTTCATCCACAATATCTCTCGCTGCTGCAGAACTTATGGCGTCTCTGTTTCATCACAATCATACGACACCGTTGTCATGTGTTCATCATGATTCATACTTTTGCACAGCAACAATTTATAGTTAAGTTTTCAATGCATACACTTCTGTGTTTGTGCCTGTTACTTACTGATGCATGGTTACCATGGTGACCCCAACAAGACATTGGTGGTTACAGAGGTGACCTAATGTCCCACTGGCAGCGGCTATAACATTTGTTTTCTCTGAAAACACTGACATTTCGTCTGAGCTGGTATTGCAGAAGCAGGCTGTACGTCACCTTTGCGGGAGGAAGATCACGTTGGTCAGATCGGTACTGCTGAAATGTTCTAGTATTGGTTTAGTAACTGTGGAGGGAGAATATCTCGTTTCTGTGCACCACCTTTTAAAAGGAAATGTAATGTTTGGGTATTTTGACCTCGTCTTTATTTGGAATTTGTCACAACTCACTAAACAAACATCTTTATGGTCAACGATAGCAGTGCCTGTTCTAAAGCTGCTGTGGGTTTTTACTGGATGACGACCCCACCTCAAGCCCATTGGTCCTAGAGTTGGCCTGGAACCACCGTCGGCTTCTCCTTTGTGCCTAAAGGATCATCAGCAGCACAAAGGCAAGCCACCATGTTTTTTCTATCCCATCTAAAGTTACCAAAACTCACTCATTAAACTTTCATCAGGTTGGTTTAGCAGCAGCTCTGTGAGGCCAGCAACACAGAGACTGCTCAGGTGAACAAACAGCTTCCACACACGTCCTCTGGACTCATTACATGCATGCCTTTCAGGGCTGACGACTCTCTCTCTCACATACACACACACACACACACTCTTCTTAGTCAATCTTAAGACTGTAAAACCAACTTTTACAACTGTTTTTTGTGCTCCCCGTCAAGGAGCAGAAGCATCAATAATCCACACCTGGAGCTCATCTTACCTACTCAGATTTCACAGAAGGAGCCAAGACTAAACTGATTATGTCAAAACAAAATGAGACCCAGCCACCTCCTCTGACTAGTTTAATGGTTTGAAGGAAAATTTGCAAACTTTCAGAAATGAGAGCAAAAACATAACAAATGCTTTAATTTTAAAGCTTTTTTCTAAAGTTTTAAAGACTTTGAATCAAAATCGTCCCCAACCACACTTGCCTTGGAGCATTTTCACTTGGAGCAGCAAGTGAAATGTGTTAAGGCTCTGAAAACGTTCAGTACCATTTAAAAATGCACTGTAATCTGAATTACCAGCTAAAACCAAACCAATTTATTTTTTATGTATAAGAAATAATCAAATGTGTAATTTTTGTACTTTATGACTTAATACGTCAGGAAGCCCTTTGTCGATGTGCTGTGTGGAGGTCTGGCGCCCCCTTCTGGTTAGACAGTAGAACGACAGAGAAACAGGAGCAAAGCCATCTGGAGGTTCAGACCTCACATCTGCTGCATCTGGTTATTGAACCATTAGACATTCCTTCAGAGTAATCAAAGGAAAGCCGAATCACTCATGGCTTCACTGATTCTTTAATATGAACAGTTTAATGTGTTTTCAGACAACCATTACATCCAGAGTCACAGAGCTGTCTGGATAGAGTCCATCGGTCTATTAGAGCTGTGCACATGGTAATACCGCATCAGTGAAAGCGCCGAAGCAGGTGTGAGATCAGAGCCTGAACTACTGAAGAGGTAGCTAACATGAATTCATTAGAGCTAAAGAGACTGCTAGTCTCTCGGAAACATCTCCACACTGAAGGCTTGTTGTCCGTTTGGCAGTTCCTTGCTGGTTGTCCTCATCGGGGTGTAGGGGGAGGCAGAGGGTGGTCACTGCTGGGGGAGGGGAATCCCCCGAGAGTCAGTGACTTGACTCTCCTGCAGGTTCTTCACTAGCTGGGCCAGCCAGCGTTTGGTGGTGGTGTCATCCTTCAGGACCTGAGCGAACGTGGTGTCTTTGAGTTGGTCGGGGAGACACTGCCTCAGAGCTTCTCTGGCTCTGCACGACAAAAATATCAGGAAGACCCTTTCGGTCGTTGATCCACCATATCTGCTCAGATGGGTTTTAAACTGTGATTTGTGAATTTTTATGCCTGTTTTATCAACGTTTACCTGGAATTGTCAGACAGTCGAAGGTAACATCGAACGACGTGCTTCAGCAGGCGGGCTGATGGTTCTTTGGAGAGCTGGAGGACCATTTTACCCTGAGATGTGAGACAAATCAAACATCTCAGTTAAAATGCTAGTAGACACAAAAACAAAGCCACCCAAGAATGAACACAGCTAACGAATTTTACACAATGACTCTTGTACACGTCTGTTAACAGGTGTGTTGTTACTACGGCGACCCTAATGAGATGCTGCGGTCTCTCTGATGCTTCTGTTAATCTAGGTTCTCGTCCTGCTGCTTTTACAGTTTACAATCTGAATGTACACACAGACTACAGAGGAAACGGAGATATGCTGGATTTAAAGGCACACTTGGCAGTTTTACTTGCTTTAGCACCCTCTAGTGTCCATTTTGTAGAATCAAAAATGAAACTTATCTCCTCACTGTGTGGTTGTCTTTTTTAACACCTTAATCTGAGTCTCCCCAGCCTTCCTTAGTGTCTACAGGAGTGACTCATCACTAAATAAAACTAATCAGCTGTGTTCATGACCTAAAACATGCTGGAAGCAGACTGCAGCGCCAGGTATGCCAGCTCTATCAGTTTCATTAACCCTGTAAAGGGCCGTTTTAGCACATACTGGCTCAGATATGGCTGTAAGGTGGCAGATCCCCGACTCACCAGAATCATGGCGACATGAGAGAAACGCTCGTATGTTTGGCAAATGTAGGCCAGGCCGGTGTCGTCCAGGAGAATCTTCTGAAGGATGAAAGTAGCAACCTGGAAAACATTCAGGGGTATTGATACAGTTCTTCCTTCAGAAGGTCAATATGGGGAAGGTAAATCTGATGCTTTCCCAGCATTCTGCCAAATAATGGCTACTCAACAAGGAAGAGGACAGTGAAGACAAACTACCGTTTTAGAGAGTTCACTTCCAGACTCCATGATACGAAGACACAAAGGAATAATCTCTGTGGTCAAAAGGAAGTTGATCACTTCTTGCTCATCAGTTTTCACTAGAGCGCCTAAACAGGAAAGGACACGCCACTCTTAATAAGGTTTATCAATTTAGAGAAATTCTGGAGAGAGGGATTCTTACCAATAACTCCCAGGCTTGTGAGTCGGAGGTACTCGAACGGTCGCGTTTTGCTCACAGTGTGTAGAAACGGGTAGAGGAAGAGTGGGATGTGTGCAGCCAGGAAGGCAGACCTGTGGAGGACAGAACTACACCGTTAAAAGAGTTCTTTAAATGTGTCCAAACCAACTTTTCAGTGCAGCAACTGGCTCCACCTCTCTCAGCTTTTCCCAAACAAAAAAGCAACACAAAAGTGATCATTAAATGAATAAAACTGAAGATACTGTAAAGAAAAGACAAGCTAAACACACATTTTTAAATACTTTGAACTGAAGTTAGAGAATAGAAACAATATTTCTTCCTGCTTTTCTGATTGCTGATCGGTTTAGTCGTGTTTCTCATTGGCTCATAGAAGAAGTTACGCATCGTTCTTGTAGTGAATAACTGCAGGTGAAAAGTTGCTTTGCTGCATTTTTTGTGGAGGGATTATCATTCAAACCGAATCACAGGCAAGGGAATTTTTGTAAATGAGCTAATAAACAAATAAGACTTTACAGTCGCCCAGCATGTTTTACTGAGGATGTTTTTCTACTCAACATCCACTCCTCAAACCCAAACCGGGTCTGTATGACCGACTGTACAAGCACCTCCTCCTCCTCCTGCTCCACAATGCTTTCACCCAAAGGAGACGCAGCTTGACAACATTCATCAACACACAATCACGGTATACCCGTAAAGTCAAAATCTCTGATTAATCTGATATAATTTCTACTGTATGCTGTGCGTGTACATCATGCATGACAAAAAAAATCTATGTACAACATATGTTTATGAAAAAAGAGGGCTCCTAAAAACTAGCTAAAGATAATGGCAATTTGCTACGTTCCTTCCACACACACGTTAGCCTGCATCATTTCAGCAGGGCACACGACGGATGCTAAGACTTTTTCCTGCTAGATGTTTAAGATAATTAGAAAAGTCTTGTCACCTAGTCTCTGGATGGGAGGCAACACACTGGAGGAGAGCGAGGGCGTTACACACTCTGTTGGACTGGTGTGCCGTCAGAGTGGGGGGGTTGATGGATGGATAGATGTTCACTATTTCCTACAAGAGACACGATTACAATTACAGCCAGAATATGACAACATATTGAAAGAAACACATAGGCACAATTTAACATTTTCACTTAGTTAGGGCAGAATTTACTTGGAGTTTAATCCCTGAGATTAACATGCTACAGGCTAGATTTTAACCCTCAGTTATTCATGCTGCAGCTCATGGCAGGCTTTAAGGCTCGTCGGTTGGTTAAAGCACAACAACGTTGAATGCTTCCTTTAGCTGCAACTCCCGGTGAGTAACGTGACGGAATCACAAAATATGGAAAATGAAAAACTCCAAACAGGAGGTCGGAAATTAAGAGTGGGCCATCTCGGTGAACTTCATCTAGGGATTCGGGTAGTTAAACAGAAACAAATATAACAGAAATAAATAATACAAATGAAATGTTCCAGAAGTTTAGGCAAAGTCAAACCACATTATTTGGAACACTGAGATCAGTTTTAACAGCTACACCCAAACCTGATTACGAACACACTAATTAGAATAAAAAAAGCCATCAATAGAACCTGACAACATGAAACAGGCTAAAAGATCCCAAAAAGCAACACAGCATGACCTTCTCTGGGGGAATTCAACAAAAGAACCTAGAACATCTAAAGTTCTGTAGGATGATCTCAATGAGAGACCAAAGACCAAAACAATATCCTAAAATATCTACTTTATTCTGAGGACCGATGAGACAAAAGCAGAACTCTTAGAAAGGTGTGTGACTCGTTCCATCTGAAGTAAAACTAACCACTAAACCATCATAGCAACAGTCAGACAAGGTGGTGGTGGTGTAATGGTCTGGGGCTTCAGCACCCAGACCACCTGCTGTAACGGATGTAACCATGAACGCCGATCTCTAGCAGAAGATCCTGAAGAAGAACCTCTGACCTTAGGTCTTGAATGATGGAGGTTTTAAGCTCACCTGCAGCAGAGCTGCGATGGTCCCGCAGGAGTGCCAGAGCATCGGAGCCAGGTCCGGTACAGACTCCCTCTTCTTGCTAAGCTCCAGAAGGGCATTTTCCCTGGTTTCCGGGCTGGAGAGCTCGTTGATCCATAGGTAGATCTTCTCTCTGTCCACTTGAGCAAGTGCTGTTGTTACAGCCTGCGAGGAGGAGAAACATAAAACACCTTCAAACTAACTTTACACGGTTCGCAATAAACACGCGAGACTTTCCTCTATTCTACTCTGAATCAATTTACAGAGAGAGAAAAAAAACTTTAAATATTCACCAAACACGATTAGTACCTGCGTTTAAAGAGAACTCTGACCATTACTGAGCAGCTTGTTTGTAGCCTGTTAGCTAACTCAAAACCATCAAATATCCACTTACTGCTCCCGTAGCCAACATCCTGACCAGCAGCGGGGTTTATTCCAACACGCTTTTAAAAAAGCAGATCATAAACGTAAAATTTTTAATGCATTAACAAATAAACATTTAGCTGAAATGCACAAGCTACGTTAGACTCAGCGATTAGAAAACCGGAAAAACCCATGCATATCCGGTGTCACGTGTTATCTCGCGATTTGTTCCCCGTTTAAAATAGATTCACCAACCTTTATTTACTCCATTTTGTTTTTACTTCCCGTTGTTCAAAACAACTGTATTGAAAATGAATTGCTCAAATTAATAAAATAAAAATTTCTATGACAAAATGTGAACATTTATCGGCGTAAACAAATTTCAACAGATGAGATACAGGTTTTAACGAGAAACATTTTTCGACATACCACCAAAGCACGTTTTGATGAAAACTTTATTGAAAACGAAGAATTACACAAATAAAGACAAAAAGGTAATCCTATCATAATTCAAAGTGGCCGGTTTATATGAAAATGTAGACAAATACAGCTCATTTAAAAAATATTCTTTAGATTTTGTTGTTGATGTGGACGCCGCGTGACCTTCATTGCACTTTTAAGATTAACAAATAAATGTTCATAGTGCACCTAAATTATGCTTCAGTTTCTTATTAACTCAGCTCACAACACACTTGTGTCTCGCTCCACTTTATGCATCAGTACTCAGATTTCCAGGCAGCTGACTGCACAAATCATGACTAAACCAGTGGACCTAGTCATATGAAAAGACAATGTCATTCATCCAGTTCCATAAAAAAATTGCTGCTGATGCATTTAGTCAAAACTACTACAATTACAGATCCCATCATTAAAATAATGAAAAAGGTTGAAAGGCTGTGCTCATAATCTAAATGGGATGACATCTCTCTGCGCCATCGTCGCCGCCATACTGAGTGTGGCTTCGTGGACGCATTGACTGAATAGTTATTTATATAAACTTCCTCGTTAATAAGATGCCTTCTTCGTGTGTAGCTAGAGGCTGCCCCAGTCGTTGCACACTGGAATACAAATCTTTGGAGGTTACCTCACAGGTAAGGCTAAATAGTTATTAGTATATTTGTTGCCACTATAGCATTAGCTAACCTTCTTGTTTTTAACAGATGGCAGACAGTTGGTGTCGTAAACCACCGCCTCTGTTCAAAGATGGTTGCTCACAGTGGACATAAATGGCTTCCTTTACTCCTCTTTCAAACCATGTCCTCTCTGTCCAAAATGTGAACGTTGGCATCCTCGAAAGAGTGACCTTTGTCCTTTAGATGCAAATGAACTGCTGAGTCCTGTCCCGTGGAGGTGGCTCTTCTATGTTGTGCCATGCGCTTGTGAAGTCTACTCAAATCTGTACATTTTGCATGATGCTATGATGATCCCTTCAAACGTCAAATGAAGTTTCAGTGCAGTGTGTATGTGGGGGTTAAATCTTGCAATGCAAGAACTTTGTTATATATAATACACTTCATTCAAATTGAACAAAGATGTAGGTGTAATTTTTTTCTTGTGTGTGTGTGTGTGTGTGGGGGGGGGGGGGGGGGGGTTCTCGCACAGGGCGCCATTTAGGCTAGCTCCGCCTCTGTTCATGAGTCATCATCAAAGTGTCAATACAGGATCAACAACTGCAGCCGGATTGTGTTTGTTTTCTCCTTTAGATTCCTGTCAGCTCACAATCGAGACACAGTAAATAAATATCTCAGACTGTTTGATGACAACAGGAGGGTGGCTCGTGTGTGGGAGGCTGAGTCCAATCCTGATCATCCGGACAGGGTTGACGTTGATCCTCAGCTGCTGTGTAGCACTTGGCTGCATAGGCGTCATTTTAACCGGGGACGCCGGGGACATGTCCCCGGCAAAATTTGTGATTGGCAGCTGTGTCCCCCCCACTTTCAAAAAAGCCTGCCTTTATTGTCCCCAGCAATTTTTAAACCCCACTCAAGTGTATGGTTATTGTCCCCAGCAATTCTGAAAACAAACTGACGCCCTTGCTTGGCTGACTGGTCGCTATTACTGGGAGGTCGAATGGAGAGGAAACGTTTATATATCACTGAGTTACAGCGGAATCAGGAGGAGAGGAGACACTGACGACTGTGTGTTTGGAAGGAATGATCAGTCCTGGAGCCTGATTTGCTCTGATGTTGATGGTTTCTCTGTCCGTCATAATAACAGACTAACATCAATCTCCTCCTCCCCTGTGTCTAACAGACTAGCAGTGTATGTGGACAGTCCTGCTGGCATTCTGTCCTTCTACAGAGTCTCCTCTGACACTCTGATCCACCTCCACATCTTCAACAACACCACCACACTAACTGAACCTCTTTATCCTGGATTTGGGTTTTGGTCTGGTTCCTCTGTGATTCTGTGTCGAACATAAAACACATCCTTCTGCCCAGAGAATTTTCTGCTCACTTTCTTTCAGTGTTTGTCAATTTCTCTCAGAAACATTCTCAGATTCATGGATTTTCTAAAGCTTTTAAATGATTCATTGTAAACTTCTTCCTCTTTCAGTCTAAAATATGTGAAAGTTCCAAGATCCAAATGATGCATAAGCATGGATTGAGAAAATTACAATTCAGTTTGGACGTGGCCAGAACTTCCTTGCAAAGGAGATTTACTAATATAAATTGATTTTCTTTCTGGATAGCCGGAAAAAAAAAATCTGTTTCTATTTGGACGTCACTTTTTGTCACGTTGAAATAAAAATGGATCTATATATATTTATTTCATTTTCCAGACTGATAACTAATTAACTCATTCACTGCTATAGTCAAAAGTCATAATTTTAAATCCAATTGCTCACTGCCAATGATGACTAAAGTCGTCATTTGCATCTTTTTACTGTGTGGGCGTCGGAACGGCCCTCCCCCACCACCACCATGAGAACAAACATCTCAGCTCTAAAGCCGATCTTCATTCACGTACGTCACACGCCATGTGATCAGGAAGCAGAAAATCCATGTGTTAGGAGATCGTTTTGGGCCGCTGCTGTAAAAAAACAGTGAGGCGCGAACCAGAAAAGCTTCTGCCGATCACAATTTGACAACGGATTACGAAAGAACGGATAAAGCTCGAAATGTGCGGATTCCTCCTGATGTAAGAGGTGCGTCTCCTCTTTGCTTTGGTAGTTTTGGTGTTGACATCATCCTAGCACTCAAAATTCTGTGACTCTTAAAAACAGTAAAAAGGCTGAATAACGCTGGCAGCAAAGGGCTTTTCTGATCGGTAAACAGCAGGCAGTGAATGAGTTAACAGGGATGTAAGAAAATATCAATATGGCAATATATTGTGATATTGTTTCCTGCACTATTACATTAATATTCAAAAGCTGTGTATCTAATTTTTAAGAATTTACATGCAAACATTTGTGTGTTTTCTTTTCTTTCGGTGCAATTCAAACACTGACCGCTAGTTGGCAGCAATGTGGAATGTGTTTTGTTTCCACCACTGAAATGTAAATGCCTCTGTTACGGTTCAGATACCTCATGTTAAACATGCTACATATCAGTTTGGACTGTTTATTGAATTTTCCCACGATAAATTCAGTCTATAAATATCACTTATATCGTCTGACTGAATGTATCGCAATATATCGTGATATATTGTATCGTCTCCCCTGTATACGTATCGTATCGCCATAATTTCACCAATACACATCCCTATTAATCTCAATACATTTAATCTTAAGCTTAAGTTTTATTTTGAAATATTTATGAGTTATGTTTATAGAAGAACACAAAAACTTATTTCAAATAAATCAAAGTGTTATCTGAAACACGTTTGCATGAATGTTTTGAATAGGAGCTATACATCATGGATGGAGCTGTGTTTTACTGTCTTGTCAGCATGGACCAGAACCTCTGAGGAAGATTCACAACAACTTGTTGGATCCACAGATATCATATACAGATACCCTGTGGACTGGTGCTGCCTATTGGAGCTGGCGTAGCTGTGAGCCACCATCTTGGATGGGTCCCCATTCACCCCAGTACATCTATTTCTAGTGAGGAAGTTGTTTACCCAACTAAAATACACATTTTATTATGCTTTTTCACAAAGTCAGACATGGCTTGGTAATTAAAATAATAATTTAACTAAAGAAAATACATTTAAATATAAAATCCCAACAGGTAGGCTGGAAAAGTCAATAGTAATCCCACGTGATCTGTTTTCAATAGTGCGCCAGTTGTTACAACTGTAGAGTTTTTGAGTGAGGAGGCCCGTCCAATATGGCGGCAACGCTGTAACACTCTTCAGCACCCAAATGGGCCTCTGTGTATTCACGTCTTTGGCTGAATCCGTGACATGAAGGTTTAAGGAGGTTTTGAAGACAAAATGGGTCCAACTTGCTGCTAGCATGGTGTACCTAATAAAGTGGCCGATAGCAGCTTTAGTCTCAATGTCCAAGTTTGTAAAACAAAGAAGCATTGCTTGTTTCCTCAGGAAACAGCAATATATGAAAAACACAACACAAAAAGATCCAGATTTTTATACGTTATGAAATAATGGGAAAATGTCTTCATTATAATTCGTGTCTGGTCCCATTCTGATGCTTCCACTGAGCTCCATAGCTGACAAGGCTGGTGTCCTTGTGTCAGATCAGCTCTCATATGAATACATTGCCCTCTAAAGCTAGACTCACATTGGTCATTGAAAAAATCTTATCCTTGTGACCTCTGCTTAACATTTTAAAATAAAAGTGAAAATTACCAACAGGCAGTAACTTCTTGTGTCCTTATTTTTCTGCTACAACAGTATGATAGCCCAGCGGGATGGCATGACAAACACACACACATTTGATGTTCAAATATTTATTCTTCACCAACCACGGGCCCTTTTTCTTTTCAGATCAACTCACTAGAATAAAAAAAGACAGTTGCTAAATTGAGAAGCTTCCAACAATACAACATGTTCCATGTGGTGGCTCACAGTGTTTCTTCTTACATCTAATTGTGGCATCAACTTGAAGACAGAAAACCAAAAACGTCATCAAGCAGCTCTAACACAAAACTGACAGTGACTTTGAATAATGCTTCCACTAACCAGCACAGGTACAATATTTGGAACTGCATGTGTTTAAATATTAGCACTAATTTCAGAACCTTTTGAAGCCAGCAGCTTTATTTTGTGGTCTTAAAAAACAAACCAAAAACACACATTTGAAAACTTTAAAAGGAAACATTCTGGCACACACACATTCACTTTAGACGTCTGTGCAAATGAACGCTTTGTGTTGTATAGGTCAAATGTGAGAGAACACCACTAACAAGCACTGGAGTTACACAGGAACCCATCAGAACAAGCGCACTGAGTCATTGGTCGAAAGTGCTTCAGATACATCTGGTCCAACTTAAACCACTAACTCTTCTAAAAGCAAGACGTCTTCACCACGATTAGTCCATCCTTCAAAACCCCGACAAGCCTTCATCCCCCTGGTGGATGATGTTAAGAGCCAGCTGGAAAAAACTAGATTAGTCCCGAACAAGGAATATTTCATCGATTAAATCCAATATGGCGACAACCAGGTCCTGGCGCCTCATTTGTAAATCTTTGCATAGAATCCTGACCAAAACTTTACTGAAGATGAGCAAAAAATGTAGTTTTCAGACATAAACCACACCACTTACACACAGCTGTGTGCGTTTCCTGCTTTATAAATCACACTTTTTCTAGAAGTGTGGTCAGGTGTTTTTGATTCTGCCTCCCAGGGCTGTGACATACTTGCTGTCTGACCTCGCGTTGGCACATTCACATACTTGCTGCTACACTGCATGCAGTACCGGAGTCGTGTTCCACCGGGGGATACACTAGAGATCTCAGACTGGAAAGAGAGTCGGGTTTGTGCGTACGACCAAAACTAATATGGCGTCCACAAAAGAGCTCACTAACTGGTTAATTTTGAGATCACGACAGAAAAAAAGAGACAGCAGCGGTATCAAAGATGGTGTGAAAGACCTCTAACCATAGTGAGTGTGTCTTGCTCAATTTGGCAACTCCACCTACTGGTTACTCGTATATTGCAGGGTTCGGAAGAGTCGCATTAATTTTGGGGAATGTGCAAAAACGACGCTTTAAACAGCAAGTATACCACAGCCCTTAATGAATATTCTGGTAACCATGGCAACCAAGAGGTTTAGAAAATGCAATTAAACAGACCAATATCAAGATGCTTGTGTTGCAGAGGCATGGAAATCTATTGCCTCCTAGTGGCACAGTGTTGCTGCTGGGGTGAGCGGTTTGTGGTGGAGCCGCAAATCGATCGTGCTGGACATAAAAATCAAGAAGAAAAAAAGATAAGTGGTCAGATCTGAAGGTGGATGCAAAGAGGAAGATGACGAGGACAATTTTAATTACAGTGGCCAGAGATCGTTGTGAAATTCCAGATAAAAGTTTAACATTAAATGAAAATATTTAATTTACCCCCATGGGGCTTTATGCAGGAAACACCAAAACCTTTCATCATATCAAACAAATATCAGCCATGATTCCTTCTGCAGCACGTGGTTTGTTGTAAACCGGGGCCGTCTGGTTTATACTGGACGTGCTAGATTTGAATATGAACTGAAGTGTGATATCTTCCACCAGGTGCGTGAGTGGCATGTAACGTAATAGTGGCGTTTTGCCCGCGAGATCTTTTCCAAAAAGGTAGGAGAAAAAAGTAAGTGTTCTATTTTGGTTTACATTTTTACTCTGTTTGCATCGGTAATAACTTACAAGCTCTGTAAAGGTGGCTCCTGATCTCTATTGTTAACCTACTTTCTAGGGTTTGGTGTTGCCATGCCAACACCAACTCTGTTGGGCTGGAGGAAAAAAACACTTCCATCAGGAGGTGGAGTTGGACTCAAAGGAGACCAACGATTGACGAAAATGTTGAGAGCCATGTTTTAAATCTGAGTGGAACTGGTTTGGTGGCGAAAAAAATTATTCAGGAGCAGGGCCCTTAGCCAATAAACATCAGGCCTCCTTAAATCCTTTTCTGATGATTTCCTGTCTCAGGCTTTAAATGGTTAAATACTGACTCAATACTATGTAACACACTTAAACTGAGGGACTTGCGCCCCACATTTTCTTATAGAAAGTCAAACTACAACAAACCTCAAACAGCACAGTCAGAGGAGTGCTCTCTGCTCAGGCCAGAGATGTTTATGTATGAAGACCGTTGTGATAGGTCAGGAGCAGCAGGGCCAGAATGATTTCATTCATGAGATCAAAGCATCAGGTCAGTGGGAGCTCATCAGCTTCTACTCATCTGTGGCACACCAAAAACACACAGCAAGTTCTCCTTTCAGGACTTCATAAGGAAACCACTTGATCGTGGTCAGTTTTCTTTTAAATGTCACCAAAAACTTGAGCTATTTTCGAAAGAGCAGTGGAGAATAAATATCCGCTCAGGCAGTTTTACACGTTCGATTCAACTTAATGTCTTAAACACTACATGTTATCTGATGGCTAAATTCTTCCAGTGGTTATGGATTTCCCACGACATTTGTGTTCTACTATGAAATGCTCGTCTACAGGACACTCCAGCCTCCTCGGGTGGTTTTAAAACCCCGTCTCAGAACATCTGTGAGCTCATTCTGTTCATGACCAGTTTCTCCAGTTGTCCCAGTGCAGCCTGCTCACTGCTCCACTCCGGGCGTGTAGTCGGGGCGTCGGGTCTGCATGATCTTTGGCCGAGGTGGGCGGGCCGTCTCGTCCTGGTCGCTGGGCGCTGAACCGTCATCGTGCTCGTCGTCCTCACACACATGGACGACCACGCTGGGAGTAGTGGGCGTGGCAGTGTGAAGCTCATACGTTTCCCCTAAAGGTCAAAATGCAGGGGGATTTACACAGAGGAGAAGTCGCTTCTATGAACACTTCAAACTCAAGAAACTATGACCAACAGAGCTGACGGCTCTGACTGGAACCCTGAGATGTCCACTAGATGGTGCTCGTAACACTCTTTTGTGAGTCCAAGCGAGTTAAAAAAGGTTTGGAGAGCCAACTAGTTTCTGAGGCTGAAGTGGATTTAAGAGGAACATTCATCTGGACTTTGCCAGGTTCTACAATTATTTAAATCCACCTTTTTGTCCTCTTCCTAGCTGGGTCTGGGTCCCGGGGGTAGCAGCCCCCGCAGACTCAGGAGCAAGACCTTGAGACAATTAGACCCATCCACCAGAGGAAGGACCTCGAGTTTTCAGTCCGCCCTTCATTTATACTTTATCTAACCTTAAATGTAGAAACACACAGCAGGTCATGGTTGTTAACTGAAAAAGGAAGGACATCGTCCATCACACTAATGCAACAACAAGTAGAACCTCCTTTAGACATTCAGAAGAGTCTAAACCACATCAAAGGTTCTGTTCTGTAACCGAGACAGAGTCAGGTGCTCTGATGAAAGGGTTTGAGTTCCTAACTGAAACCCTGATCTGCCATGTGCCGTACCTGGTCCTAGTTTGGAGATGGCACACAGAAGGTCATAGTTGATCACCGGTGTAGCATCCTGAGACTGCTCCCAGCCGACTGGAGGAGAGGCAGGTGGGGAGATGAGGAACTGCTTCTCTGGTTTGGGAGGTTCCAGACGAGGACTCCCAATGTGAACGGACTGGAAGACAGAAGCGCCAGATTATGTTTGAGACAACAGATCAGGAAAGGGAGACCAATCACAAACCTATAGAAGCTATAAAGAGCTCAACAACAAAGCTAAATTGTATCTTGTAAATAATAACTAACTGGTTACAAACACAAACGATCACACAATCAGTAAAAGGATTAAGGAGTGGGCGTGACCCACAGGACTTTTATTCTGACTTTACCTGAGCAAAGTAAAGCCTCAGCTCTTTTCCTCTGAAGTCAGACTTGTTCAGTCTAAGTCTGGCCTCAGCTGCTGCTAGTGGGTCGCTGAAGCTGATCCTGACACGCCGGAAGGACCGGAAGTAGTGGAACTGCACTTCTGGGTCGAAGGAACGGAACAAGGACTCAAAACTGACCTGGAGACAAGACAAGAGGTCCGACAACAGTTAGATGAGGAGGAAAGGAGCTGCTGGCTAAAGCTGAAGTGAATCACAACTATCAAAAGACTAAACAATGCTCAACTAAACTAAATCAACAGTGGAGTAAGTCTTTATACATTAGCACCTTCACAAAATGATAGTTAATTATTAGATAGGACTTAATTGTAGTGAGATTGGCTTTTAGCTCACCGCTCTAGTCAGATCCAGCATCTGCAACAGATATTCTTAACATTTCCATGGAAACCCTCTTCTAAAGATCCAAATGATCCATTTAATCCTGTTTATTTTCCATCACCACCAAACAAAATGCAATCGAGCTTCACCCATTTAAATTTCCATGAGCAAAAATATGTCATGAGTCACAGAACGGATTTTATTCAAAAGAGGTAAATCGGGATGCGAAAATATGAGCCAATGGCTGAACACCACACACACACACACACACACACACACACACACACACACACACACACACACACATTATATATTAATATATAAGATATTCATATATTATAACATAAACACACACTTATACTTCTGAGATTATTACTATTGCTGTCACATGACCACCTCCCTACCTTCCTGAATCAGACACACAACCTACACAAGCCACTGGGTGGAAAAATACAAATTTGTTCATGTTGGTCCATTTTTACTTATAAAACCGATAGATTAGGGCTGCTCGATTATAGCAAAAATAATAATCACGATTATTGTGACTGAAATTGAGATCTCGATTATTTAAGACGATTTCTCAATTAATGTTGATTTTATTTGTTTTTATTCGCTCATAAATTTGCTCATGGCACAATCAGGACAAAAATAAATGAGAATCAAGATGATCACTAAAATAACTCCTGATTCCTAGTATAAAAAGACCAATATACTTACTCATAGTTTATGACCCAAGGGCTATAGACCTTGGTGTAACTCATTTAAGTCTAACCAGTACAGACCCAAATACCAATATCTTGCAAAATAGGGGCATTGCTGGTTTTTTTGTACACTAACGACTAATTTGTTAGAGCTCTGAAGGACCATGGAGACATGGATGAGCCTGGATTGAGGGAATCTGCAGTACAGTGTCCAGGATTTGGACCACTAGAGTCAAAAACATCACTGCTCTATGGACACAATAGGTATTTTAGCTATTCCATATTCAACTTCCTCCTCACTCAGGCAGGAGGTCCTGTACTTACCTGTGCCTCGTGTCGATGGAACACTTCCCGACTGGTCAGGGATGCTACCAGGCAGAAGCGGTTACACTTGCTGGTCTTAATATGCATGGCCGGTGATCCAGGAAGAAAAAAACGTTTCCACCTGATATCGGAGGTCAAGGCCCGACGGGATGCTAAGAGGCTCTTCAGCAGAGGTAAAGAGGACGGAGGTCAAGACGGGGGAGCGTTGCCTTCCCCAGGGTGGTGGAGAAGCAGAAAGGGATTGAAGCTTCTAAAGTTAAAATATATCCGTTTTATTTCCTGGATCTTGTTCTCTAGGAGCACATCTTCTCGGTCCTCACAAGGAACACAATGTGAAACATACAAGTCTGGAAACAGAAAGCCTCCTAATCCCGATGTCAAGGTTACCGAGTCTGAATCAGCTCTTACAGTCCGATCTTCATCTGTCAGCCTCCTCCAGACACTCTCAGAAAGTCAGCTCAGTGTGAGAATGCAGACTGAAGGAATGTTCCAGAGAATTGGGTGTGGAAAGCTGAAAATGTCATTCAGCTTCCTCTAAGCTTCCCTCTCTCATTCTGCTTTACAGCCATTCAAATGAGGACTATGACGCATTGGCACCAGCCCCCTCCCCCTTTCCTTCCTCCCAGCCTTCCTCATGCCCATTCACTGACAGCCTGTTTTATATATATACATACAGGGGGAGGGAGGGGCGTTTTTTATTCCTTCCACTGACCAACGCTGACGAATCACATAGAAACAAGGGTAAGTGTGAGAGAAATAATGAAGAATGATGACATCAGAGTCAAATGACTCCATCATCTGTTCCTTGCCGCGTTTAAAAATAAATCCTTTGTGCCTCTGAGCGTCTCTGAATTTTCCATTGGAAAAAAACAAAAAACAAGACTAAAACTCTGACCCGAGTGTGAGGTCAGCAACTAAAAGAGACAAAGGCAGAAACAGAGAAGAGCAGAGGACAATAAAGATGAACTGGAAAGAATCAGGCATGCTCCCTGAGTGTGAGACAGAGGCGATGCAGATGGAAAGTATGTGCTTTGATAACATGCTTTTATGAGGTATTAATAGCAGAGACGTTTAAGTGGAGGGATGTGTGTGTGTGTGTGTGTGTCTAAGCACAGCTGGCAGGTAGAAAAAATGGGCTGTGAAATACCTGGATCAGCCATTCCCAAAGTCTGGAATAGAGTCTGGATCCAGATCAGACAGCAAGTCAAACCAGACCCATTTCCGTATCAACAAACTTCTTTTGTGTTCAGTTAAATATGAACAGATTTTAGACTTTTATGGTAATTCTGTTATTATCCATGTCAGCGGTCTAGGACTAAGCTGTAACCATGGCAACGTTGACAGCCAGCACTCATAAGAAGCAGCCCTTGTGTTTCAGTCACTCTTCCTCACATTACCAGAACTCAGCTAAGGGCTAAACGGTATGTAAACACATACGAGACTACAAGACTGTCTTTTCTATTATCAGAGGAGCAGATATGAAGGCTTTATGTGATGTTGCTATGGTGATATCTTTATATGTCAAAAGGAAAAAAATAAATAAATAAAACGTAGGCTTAAAAGCCAGGTTTCAGTGGATGAGGACATGCGTGTTGTCCCAGTCCATCACATGTCCCATGAGTAACATTTGCCGAGAGACATTTGGGATTATGAAGAGTGGACATGTGGTAAACTACCATGACTCAAAGCAAGGACATGTAAACAGAAACGTCCCAGTTAGTGCCTAGCGTAGGGCAGCAGCTCATCGAAGGCAGAGAGAAAGAAGCAAACTCACTAACGCTTTTCTCCTGATTTTTGCTCCTTCTCTGCATCAAATTCTCATCTCAACCAACACTAAATATGCGTTGGAACAAACATGCCCATGAAGGGCAGCAGGTTGGCGCATTAGCACCCATTAACATTTGATCCCTGCACAAACAGAAGAACACAGCAGTGACCAAATAGAATAAACTGTTCATCCCACAGTATGGAAATTCATTTGTTACGAACAGAGAGAAATAAAAATAATATCTCTCATAGTGATCTGCAGGCCTTAAAGGATGAAAAACAAACTAACAACAGGCCCCTTCACGAGACAAGATGGGTGAGTCCATGAATGTCAAGTGACAGTGTGACATAGACCTGTCAGGCTTTTTTGTCAGGGTTACACAATTGTAATGCTCTGAGGGCCACTCAACAAAACGACCTGGAAGTGTGAGGTCCGGTCCAGCGGGTTGGTGCATGCTCGGTTCGGGGGTCACTAAAGTGGGGGGCCGCCTATTGGGTACCGCTGTCCTAGAGTGTCACCATCTATTTTTTTTATCAGAAGCTAATGCAGGAGATAGGTGTAGGAAACTATTTTCATGTTTAGCCTGCATGGAAAAACTCAAGTATAAAATGCAATTGAATGACTAAAGTAAATCCTCAAGGTGAAACGATTAGACCTGATCTTTTCTTTGAACCATGAGACTACATGAATTTTACTATTAAACATACGCTGTCATTAAGGGATTTAGACCTCTAGGGGATAATAGAGGCTGAGGAGTCAAGTGCCCATCTCATAACTGGATGGTTGCAGGATCGAGTCCAGCTCAGTTCATCGTAGTGGTTGTGTCTTTGGGCAAGACACTTAGCCTGCGTGGCCTGCTGATGGTGGTTGGAAGGAATGGTGGCGCCAGTGTTTGGCAGCTTTGCCTGTGCCAGTGAACCCCAGGGCATCTGTGGCTACATTGTACCTCATCACCAACAATGTGTGAACATGTGTGCATGGGTGAATGACTGGATGTGTTGTAAAACACCTTGGGGGGTTGTAGAATCCTAAAAGGTGCTCTGCAAATATAGGCCATTTACCATTTTATGTGTACAGCTAAAATGACCACGAACATATCAGCTGAAGGGGAACTCGCCTTCTTTTAGATTGTTTCAATGTCAAAGAATCCATAAGAAAAAAAGAGGGAAAGGGTGTAGCTTTTACTAGGCATTAGATGTGGTCTTTCAAAATAAAGCTTGGGAACAGCTGGTGTATCTCATTTATATTCAAGCACTTAAATATGCAACAGACTTTTCACACCAGATAATTATTTGATTTAGATTTATCCTATGTTCACTTGCTGACTTTTGTTCATTGATGAATATAAATGAAAATAATGTCCATTATTGAAAGCATTCTTTGTTTGCGGCATTTCTTTTCCACACCTGTATAGGAGAATAAACACCACACTTTGACCAATAAGATCTAAATTTCTATATAAATATGGAAATTCTGTCTGATTGATCTTTGAATGAAAACCAGAACATTTAGAATTATTTGTTTATTCAGGAATTGTAAGACACTTTGCATTAATTCAAGAAGAGAGTCAAGTTTATAAAAAGTAAGAAATGTATTTTCTAAACAATTAAAAACATGACAACTAGGAAATACTTGTGATGAATGAATCTAAGTGGATGGAATATGAGGTGTGATGATGTGTGAATGTGATGTTATCAGAACCTCTTGTATCTGGAGAAACGGAGTTCTGAGTGGGAGTGAATTTGGTCTGCTATAAACTATAAGTTGATGGTTTGTAAAACCACATCAGACGCAATCTGTTGAGTCTACTTACCAGCTCGAAGACCCCCGTGGTAGATCCGGAATGCCAGGAAGTCCGTAGACCCCAAAGGTACCGAAGTCTGTAGAAGCAACCGCAGTGCCACTAAACCAGTCTCAGGATGTCTCCAGGTCACAACAGGTAGTTCATTGCATCTATGGAAGGACTCTTAAGGAGTCGAAGGTGGTTCAGCTTTATTCTGAAGGAACCGTTTGCGGTCAGCTGTGGCATACAACAGGTTTTTGACAGCTTGTCAAAAGATGCTCTGGGTTAAAGATGTTTTGCCCCGGATGGCCGGTCGGAAGCTTTCTCTAGAACTGACTCGCGGTGAAGTGAGTCCTGTTTTAATAATCGTCATATTTTAATTTACTAACCAATCAGAATTTGACATGTAAAAAGGGTTTTACCAACAAACCTCAGATACAGACAACAGATACAGGAGTTCTGATTTGTGGAACAGAAAGCAATGTGTCATGATATTAGTTTAACCTTGCCATCATCACGTGTCTTGAGTGTGTGAGCTGTCAGAGATAGTGATTCACTTGTTAAATCTAACTTTACCCATCATAACATAATAATATTCAACCTCAATAATTCAAGCACAGATTAATCAAAACATTGTTATTATTCTTCAGCCATTATTGTTCATTCAACTATATGATTATTTACTCATATTGTTCATTATAGGATTTAATTATGAAAGTGCATCCATCTTGTCCTGTGAAGCAAAGCAGTCTTAGATAAGAGGGAGCTTGCGAGGGACCTTGGGCAAGCACAGTATCTTTCTTGCCGATTAAAGCCCCAGTTAAGACTTGTCTCCATATGACCCGATACTGAAGAGGTCGACCTGTATATGGAAAAACAGACTATTTCCGGAGGCTACACCTGCCCAAAACCTTTGCACAGTACTGTATGAGTATGTGTGGGTGTTAAAAAGAGCCTGCTGCTCAGTATGGATGCTCATCACTAAGCTGAATAAGTTGACATATCTGTTACAGTATCGACATGTTTAAATGGTCTCGGAGTCTTTGAGTAATATTGAGAAACAAACCATCTTCACTCACTGCCACCAGGTATTTAGCAGAGTTTAGTCAGTTTTCCCACCTTTAATCTGGTGTAGAGTTGTAGAGTCAGGACAGCCTGATAATCGGGATGTGTACTGGTGAAATTCAAGCGATACGATACGTATCACGATACAGGGGAGATGACTCTATATCAGGGGTGTCAAATATGCGGCCCGTGGGCCAGATTCGGCCCGCAAGCGGGTTAAATCCGGCCCGCGAGATGGTTGTGTAGACTTTATTTTCATACTTTACAATGTAGAGTGAAAATAAACTTATCATTGTGAGCAGGTTTTCTCCGTAATGAGTATAAATAAAACAAAGCTGCGCTCAAGGCTCACACAAGAACTTGAAACACATCCTGAAGTCGGCCGCCACTCAGGATGTGACTTCTGATATTGATGTTCTGGTGAAAGCTAAAAGATGTAAAGTAAAATGAGTCAAATATACTTTAAGTGCTGCATGAAACTGATCTAGCCATGTGATCTGTAAACTCTTTGAATCACTAAGGAATGTTTTTTTTTATTTGTAGATTTTATTTTATTTTTTTCAAATGTTCAAGTACACTTCAGGTGTTGTACTACACTGTCCTCAGGCTCCAGCCTTGTTTTATATTGACTGTATTAAAACAAAGAAAACAATCTGAAGTTTTTTTTAATTTACCGGTCCGGCCCACTTGGGACTAGATTTCCCTCAATGTGGCCCCTGAGCTAAAATTAGTTTGACACCCCTGCTCTATATTCATTCAGCCAGGTGATATTAGTGATTTTTTAGACTGAATTGGTTGCAGGAAAATTCAATAAACAGTCCGAACTGATAACATGTTTAAGAAGAGGTATCTGAGCCATAATAGAGGGATGCACATTTCAGTGGTGAAAACAAAACCTAGTGCACACTGCTGCCAACTAGTGGTCGACATTCGAATTGCACCAAGCGAAAAATCCATACACGGCTTTTGAATATCGATGCGATATTGCAGGGGGAAGAAAATGGCAAAATGGCCTGTATTTGATATAGCGTCATCTAGAGTCCTGGAACCCCCCAAGGCGCTTTACAACACAATCAGTCATTCACCCATTCACACAATGGTGGTGATGAGCTACGATGTAGCCACAGCTGCTCTGGATAGCACTGACAAGAGGCGAGGCTGCCGAGCACAGGCGCCACCGGTCCCTCTGACCACCACCAGCAGGCAACGTGGGTTAAGCCCAAGGACACAACGACAGCGACAGACTGAGCGGGGCTCGAACCTGCAACCTTCCGCTTACGGGGCGAGCACTTAACTCCTGTGCCATCGTCGCCCCGCAAAATAGCGATATTTTGCCATATCACCATTTTGTTACATCCCTACTTGATAGTGTGGAGAATTACCTGTCATGAATTTTTGGTTGACATGAAAAACGCATTTGTTTCACGGAGTTACAAAACTATCCAGTGTTTGAGTTTGAAGGAGACTGCAGACACTGTTTTATGTCAACAGGTGGCAGAGTTGAGCTGTTTAATTGTGATTAGAGGAACACAAGTTTTGGCTTGCCTTTAGCACACCCTAGTGTCCGTTTTAACTCACTGTGACCTCGAATCACCATTTATAATCATTTATTTATCCTGCACCATCATTAGTAGTAGAAATATTGTAATAAATAGATATAATAACTATATTTTTGCCTCTGTGTCAAATTATTATAAAGTGTTGTTTCCCTGGCGTTACCCATCTTACCTGGTTTCATCATTAATCAAATATTAAAGGCTCAATAATCAAATCAAATCAAACTTTATTTGGATAGCACTTTTCATGCATAGGATGCAACACAAAGTGCTTAACAGACTAAAATGACCCATATAACCCACATTCCCTCCCTTTCCCACACTTAAAACAATTGTGCCAGTTTCACCCCAATACACAAACCATGCCCAGACACACACACACACACACACACACACACACACACACACACACACACACACACACACACACACACACACACACACACACTCGTTCACATAACACATTAAAAGACCACAGTAAACACTAGACTGAGCTCAGATTGGATAGGTAATGAAAGACATGCCATCAAGGGAGCCATCTGCCTCGACAGGGGGGTGCAGCTGTGGTTGGGACGATTATTAGATTAACTGATGGACCTGTAAATAAATAGTTTATAAATAAGCTAGAAATAAGTTCCTCACACTGAAAAATAATAACTAATCTCCATGAGACTGAGGACGCGGTGCTAGTGCACGCTCCTATAGCATTGACACGACTAAATACATATTTTGCAAAATTTTGTGAACATCAATTTATGTGCATTTATTTTTTATAAATGCCACTGTATACTTCTTTCTGTCAGTATTTGCAAGATATTGGTATTTGGGTCTGTACTGGTTAGACTTAAATGAGTTAAACCAAGGTCTATAGCCCTCGGGTCAAAAACTATGAGTAAGTATGTTGGTCTTTTTATACTAGGAATCAGGAGTTATTTTAGTGATCATCTTGTTTCTCATTTATTTTTGTCCTGATTGTGCCCTGAGCAAATTTATGAGCGAATAAAAACAAATAAAAACAACATTAATTGAAAAATCGTCTTAAAGAGCAAGTCAACCCCTCCCAGAGTCTAACTCCATTCCCACTTCATTTTTGAAAAATGCAACAAATGCTGTTGCCCGGCAGACCGAGAAGGCGGAGCTGCTAATAAATACACACACACACAGGCTCACAACTGCATTGTGACATCATAATGTACCAGTTTACATCATAGCATACCTCTTAGCCAATAGCGGTGGCAGACTTAAATTAAAATACAGTGCAGTTTTTACCTGACAACGGCACAACACTGCCAGTTATAGGCAGAATATTTAAATTTTAGCTAAGATGCACTGAAGTGCCAAATTATTGGCTACACGCATCTGCAGCACGATTAGACACTCGTTTATTTAGTTTATCAGCAAAAAAAAGTTTATTAGGGGGTGACTTGCTCTTTAAATAATCGAGACCTCAATTTCAGTCACAATAATCGTGAGTATTATTTTTTGCCACAATCGAGCAGCCCTAGTGAGAGAGCCTTCACAGCTGACTGTAGGTTAACAAGGGTGCTGGATAGAAGCACTCCACGCCGTGCTTCCATGTCTGATGTGAGCAAAGGGTTAATGTCATGGTTTTCACACGATCACTGAGCAGTCATGTAATTTGAAGGAAGCATATTTTTTTCTGGTGTTTTGTAATGAAATAAATCACATAATTGTGTTTCTGTGAGATGGGAGGAATTTCACACACACTCAGGCACCATCAGTGATTTTAGAGAACAACTTCTCAGATGCATGAACGACCAGATCAACAGGAGAGACCTGAGCTTATTTATTGAAGTCTTTGTAGCTTTATCAGCAGAACTAATGGGGAAAGTTATAGCATCAGTGTGGAGAAAGTGTTGCCACTATATTATCAGTCAGACTAGTCCACGTTGGAGCAGCTGGAAGCTCCACGTGAAAAAGGTCAACAGAAGCCCAAGCAGCCTAATCATCGTGATAAATAAGTCAGTCTAGGCAAAAGAACAGTCTTACACAGAGTTGATGTAATGAATATAACATACTGAATGACATTAGTATGTTTAAATGTCAATAACCATTAAAAAAGACCAATGTGTGGGTTAAATCAAGGTATATCAAACAGGTAAATTCAGAAGAGGTCTAGCAGCAAATGTTAGACTATGATCACCTGGAATCTTCTCATTTCTGGTTCCTTCTACACTGTAAAAAAAGTCCAGTGAACTTAAAAAAGTAAAGCAACCAGTTGCAATATAATTTTAAGTTCAGTCAACTTTTTACTTGCTTGTTTGTGCAGTTTTTTCTGTATTAACTTAACATTTTGCAAGTTAAAACGTTCAACTGACTTAAAACTTTAAACTCTCCAAACAAATTGCAAGTTGGATTTTTAACAGTGTAGTTGGACTCTCAGACATGTTTTAGTTATTACAGTAGCTGTTAATAATAATAACAACGTAATACCTCCAACTGATGGGAGGCAATTCACCACCCAGAGCCTTTCATACCTTCAGTCCGCTCTCCGTAAACAGCTCCTCCGGTGCTCTACAGGCGATCAGGGCGTTCGGTAAATCGGTAAACTGGACGTCTACCGTCGCCTCCTCTTGCTGCATGGTGTCAGACCAACGGGTCAGAATCTATCAGGACTTTTCTGGAGACAGCGGAAAAAAACTGTAAGCAGGGTATATGTTGCATTGTATAATTTAAACGTCAAACACAACGAACAGCCTGCTGTTTGTATCGTGCCCGGTAGCGTTAGCTGTTTAAAGCGGAGATTAAACTATCTTCTACTAAGCCAAGAGGTAAAAGCTCTAAAGCTGCTCCGGTAGAGTAGCTGCTAGCTTAGCCTGCTACTCGCTCTCACCGGTCACGTTAACTGTTCTCCCTCCAAGCACAAAAAACGAAACGTGACTAAAAATGAATACGTGTCCCTGTCCGAGGTGGATGAAGGCTTTGGGACTATCAGCTCGAATCTCTCTCAATTAAACTTCAAACGGAAAGGTCGATTTACGGTTCTTCTTCTGTTGTTGTTTCCTTTTTCTTCTTCTTCTCCCTCCTTCTCTTCTTCTTCTTCTTCTTCTTCTTCTTCTTCTTCTTCTTCTTCTTCTTCTTCTTCTTCTTCTTCTTCTCCCACGTAGAACAATGGTGCTCTGCTGCCACCTGCAGGACAACAGTGTGACCTACGCTTCAGTGGAAAGAAAAGGAACGACAGCTCTGTGTGGGTCCCATTGGGTGCGTTTTGATTTATTATGTATGTGTTGAGTTTTGTGCGCTGATGAACTGTTTATGTGCATATTTGTATATGTGTATATTGTATATTGTATAGATGCTTTTAATTATAAGGGGAACAGGACAGGAAATGATGTGCGTTGATGTAACAACCAATCAATGCTTTCTCTATTGAACTTTGACATTTGGAGTTATCCAATAAAAAGGGAGGCAAGTGTAACACACAATGCCGACGAGCGAACAACCAGTTGTTGTGTGACAGGTCTCTACTGACATCGGAAAACAAAATACGTGATTGCTTTTTAAGCTCTAACCGCAGATCATTGCCCACTGGATCTACCTACTCAGCTCAACAGGTTATGGGCCCAGGGCGTGTCGCTGCGCCACAAAGATCCAGAGTGAACGACGTTTCCCGGGAAAAGACAAAGCATCACAAAGCAACAGCCTAATCAAGGCAGCTGTGAACATCTATGTGTGAAAGAATACCTCCGGAACACGGAACCGACTAACAGCAAGTCCAGTGAGTCCAGTAGAGCTGAGATGAGTGTCAGACACCATGAGTCGGGGGACAGCGAACGCCAGTACCCGCTGGTCAAGATTACTGTTTGACGGTAATGAGGAGAAATGTGAACTGTGGGATACTACGTTTCTTGGACACTTACGGCTGCAAGGCTTGAAAGAGGTCATGTTAAAACCGAAAGACGATGGGGATGAGCACAAAGAAGATGAGTCAAAGAACGCGGAAGCATATGCGGAGCTCATTCAGTTCCTTGACGGCAAAAGTTTGTCACTGGTCATGAGAGAGGCAGTTGATGATGGGCATAAAGCGCTGGGTATCCTGAGAGAACACTATACCAGCAGGAGAAAACCCAGAATAATCAGTTTGTATACTGAATTAACATCTCTACAACAAATAAGAGGCGAGAATGGGATGGATTACGCGTTGAAGGCCGAGGCAGCCATTACAATGTTAAGAAACGCCGGAGAAACATTAAGTGATGGTTTGCTCATAGCAATGGTCCTGAAAAGTTTGCCTGAATCTTTTAGACCTTTCATTATCCATACCACGCAGAGCGACGACAACATGACTTTGGCCATGTTCAAAAGTTTCACAAATCAGGGAAAGATTTCACAAATCCCAAAGAAGGCAGTCTGCTTTTGTTGTAGAATAATCTAGAACATGTTTGAACAGTGTGGCTGTTGTCGTTTTTGAGCTAGAGCAGATTAAAGATGGTCAGAGTAGAGAAAAATTGCCTGTAATGGCCCTTTAGCCGTTTCCCGAATCGGAAGCTGCAATCGAAAGCTAACTTCAGCCTCGTCTGCAGCTGTGATGGGAAATCATCTTCACTCACCTGAATCCTCAACCACAGATGCACTTGGAGGTTTTGTTTTCCTGGAAGTAGCAGTAGTAGTACAATAGTATAGTAATAGTATTAGCGGAAATACTAGACAACAAAAACTGGAACGTGTTTCGTGGAAAATATTTAGTGCAGAGATATTTACTGCATTTGTGATGGAAAAACGATGTGGGCACATCTTGCTCCTCATCAACAAATCTTGAGGGAAATTTCCTCTTTCTAGAATATTTCCTTTTTTCTTTAATTATTTAGAAAAACAAATCTAACATAAAATAATAAAAAGCCTCCGTGAAAAACGCGGCTGAAAAAAAAGAATTACGGGTGGTAAAACGAGTACAAACACTGCAAAACAATGTAAAAAATTACTACAAATATCCTAAAATTACCATATACAAACATAAAGTAAGATATTTACCTAAAACATTTATTATTTCTATCAGTAGAAGAGATAGAAGTTGAAAATACGTGTCGAAAACAATTACTCCGCTCCAGGAAGTGCCATCATTTTCTGGTTCTTGGGCAGTGACTTGCGATTCATTACCATAATGTGTTTTATACCTCTGGAAAGCGTGGAGTCTCAGCTTTCACAATGCGTTGGAATTACGTTGATTGCTTAAACGGTTCAAGAGTTATGGTAGTTCAAAGTATGGAAGCTATTTTGTGTCAGCACCGACACAACCGCAGTAGAAGGGAATGCAATTTTTTTATTTGACTTTTGGTTCATTTTCACAGTTTTTAATTTTACAGCATTAATTGTTTTCCACGACTGTAAGTTGCATCTTACTACTTAGCTGTTTGGAACTTGGCCAACCACTTTTGTATAAAATATCTTTAATAATTTTGTTTTGATCTATGTGAAGCACTTTGTGATTTTCTGTCTGTGATGAGTGCTATAAAAATAAATTGACTTACTTACTAAATAGAATATAATGGATTTTCATTTTATTGTCATTTTAAGACATATAATGAAATATGCAATAAGTGTCAGAAAGAAAAAGACTGTAACTGTATTACAGCTGGAAAATAACAACAGTATGAAGGGTAATGGCCTTTAGGATCGAAAACCACTGATCTAAATCATCAACATAGATCCCACTCAGATGACAGTTAGGGTTTTCTCTTTATACATCAGCCTTATGTACCACCATACCATTTATCAAGCACATTTCCAAACAGCAGGGGAGCTGACCAAAGTTCACTCCCAGCGCGTCAAAAACAAACGCTTGGTCAGCAATCCTCCACCTCAGACCCCTGACGCCAAAAGTGACCTTTTTCGTTACTTATGTGCGAAAAGGGGTTTTTCCCTTTTCTGACTGCAGATCCCAATGCAGCGTAAAACTGACGCGATGGGATGTCCGCAGCCAGGGCACCAAACCAGCTCATTGTACCTCACCTTAACCATATCCTCTTATTTAACCTTCCCCTCACCCCTATCCTAACCTTAACCATCTTGCTAGCGAACACGTTAGTGATGTGTCGAACGCTCTAAGAGCCGGCTCTATGAAGTGAACGGCGGGAGCCGCCTCGTCATTGGTCGGGTTTGGACCGAGCCAATGCGAGGGGGAGGTTTCAACTACCAAGATGGAGGTTAAAAGTAGAGGGTATGTGTAACCTCCCCCTCGCCAGATGGTATGTTCTAACGTTCCCCTTGGGCGGTAAATACAAAAACTCACAGTCAGAATGCATGGGAAACAAACGCGTGATCACAGTGAGAGTAACGTTTTAGGTAGCAAGAGGGTTAAGGTTAGGATGAGGGAGAGGGGAAGTTGTAAATAGTAAAACGTTAAGGTTTAGGTGCGGTTAAATGAGCTGGTTCGGTGCCGCATCAGCGATTATCTAATCATGTCAGTTTTACGCTGCATTGGGATCTGCAGTTACAAAAGGGAAAAACTCCTTTTCGCACATAAGTAACGAAAAAGGGAACTTTTGGCGTCTGGGGTCTGACGTGGAGGGTGGCTGACCAAGCGTTTGTTTCTGACGCTTAGGGAGTGAGAATGTGTTTTTACATATAGTACTGGAAAAGGAAAGATTAAAAGGCATAAAACAACAACACAAAATAAAAACAAATAAACCACCAAAGTGGCTATTGCATAGTCATAAAACCTAAAAATACAAATAAGAACATCTAAAAGATGATTTAACAAGAACCAGTTAATGGTTTAAAAGCCAAGTCATAACAGTATGTCTTCCATCTGGACTTGAAAGCTAATGATGTTGTTTGTTGTAGGTACATCATGTAACCTAATCCTCGTCTAGGACCTCTTGTTAAGTATAGACCCAAATGAAATGTTCCATTTGCTCAAAATGTATTGAAAAAACTAGTTGCATTATGTAGAAATACTTTATGAGAACATTTAGTCAGGATTTAGACCTCAACACTGCACATAAACAGCACTAGTAAGTCACACAGCAACGTTTCCAGAAACGTACATGTACTGTGAGGTTTTGAAAGTTTCATGCTGTGTGTGTAACGCTGAGATGTTTTAAAGAAAATCCCTGTGACATGGTGCTGGTCCCTGGGTGGCAGAGGGATTTAAGCCTCTGGTCATGTGGAGATCAGCTTCCATTTAATCCTCTGAGGAGAGAGAGGTGGAGTCAAAGAGAGGCAGAGGGAAAGAGAGCGGTGGTTTGATGTTTTGCTGTTCTCAGCAGTCCGAAGCTCCACAGCTGCAAGAAATGATTGTATGAAGGCAAGAACATGGTGAATGTGTTTCTCTGACGCTGGGCTTCTAGACTCAACATTAGAAACTGGAAGATTGATTCACATCTTTGTTTTTTGTCTTTTTCCTGTTGTGGACAACGTTTGGAATCTCCCAATCCTCAGAAACACATCATAATTCAACACTGGACCAAATTTGGAAACTTGGATTTCTTTGTTGTTTTTTTCTTAACACCTCTGATCTCTGGAAACAATTCCAAAGGAACCTGACATTTAGGAGAAAGGAATCTTTATTTTGAAGATCCAAGCTGCATTAATTCCTAACTAATCTCCATCATTTTCTTTAATGGCACAACCACGCTCTTGTCCTGACCCAGACCTGTCAAATGGAACCATTGCCTGCAGTCCGCTAGGCATTTGTTCAGATCTGGGCACCCAGAGAGGAGCGTGTGAGGAAGTATTAGTGGACGATGATGAGGTAGAAATAGCAGAGGAGGTAGGGGAAGATGCTTTGGTATTTGATGAAGCTGGGCAGGTGCAAACTAAGCTCGAATGCAGAGGCAAAGGTGAAACCGAGGACATGTGGACCGCTGAAGTGGCCCTGTTACCAAATGGAGACGCAGAGGAAGGAGGCAACGAAGTAGAAGAGGGTGAAGAGGAGATAGATGAGAAGAAAACAGAGAATGAAAGTGAGGACAGAAAAAATATGACTGTGTCATCAAAGGAGGCTAAGACAGTTAATCAGCTCCATAGCTTTGGAGAACATAAAGAAGAAAGCAAAGATAAAAAGCAAAACCAGACAACACCAAGTGCTGAAACGTATCTAAGAGAAGAAACGTTTCATAAGGACTCCAGCTATAAAGACCATCACACTTCTGTAGGGGGATTAGTAGGAGGAACACCTGATACTAACACATCTATGGCAATGTCTAATGACACACTCCAATCTGCTGAGACTCTAGAACCAACACTGACCCAAGAGAATATTTCAGTAAATGAACACATCAGCTCTCTAATAAATCAAAACTCAACTCTAGGCAATTTTGGCACACCTACTGTTGCGCCTGACCCTCCTAACAAGATAGCCAGTCGAGATGATCAGCAAACTCTTGAGCATCAAAATGATGTGGAAAGCACCACCTGCAGAGAGACCTTAGACATTACGATACCGCATAAAAACAACGCGTGGGAAGAAAAACACTCCATAGATGAGGACGACCACTGTGGCTCAATGTTCCCTTCTTATGCTGAGTCCTCTGAAGAAGTTTTAGAAACGGGAGGCACCAATCAAACGCTAGAACAACCATCACTGGTCTCTGTAATGTTTCAAAAACCATCCCTGCCAGAGAAATGGGAGGAAGCAATAACAGGAGGGCTCATTCAGATGATGCAAGAGGATGGAGAAGGTGTCCTAACAGAAAAGACAGAACATTTAGAAATGATAGAGAAAAATGTTTCCAATCCCAAAACTCCAGACATAGAGAATACTCAAAACCCTGCACTGCAGCATGGGGTTGAGGTACAAAAGAACCAACAAAAAGTCGAGATTTTTGAGTCGGTGATGGAGGAATTTGAGCTCAAAGAAACATCAGAACTTGGCTTAAACCAGACAAGGGATGAGGTTTCATCAAAAGGTAATACACCCACAGCTGGAGGTGGTCGTTTGCAAGAGCATCCTTTACAGGTCTTCAGAAATGTAGGTTGGGTAGACAACGTCCAAGAGCATCAAACGGAATGTTACACTGAAAACATGAAGGAAGAAGGCGCAACAGAGGAAGAAGTGGAGATAGCAGAAGATCCAGTGACTGTTTTAGATGATTTTTTAGAGACAGAGGAAATACAGAATAAACAGCTTGAGCAAGTTTTTGCTGCAAATGCAAACTCTTTGGTTGTTGCCGGAAATGAAACAGAAGTGAAGGAAAACCAGGAGCTGCAGAGAAAGAAGGTTAAAGATGAAAAAGAAGAGAAGGAATACAAAGAAATGGATGTCAAGCAAACTAAGGAAGACTATGATGAGAAGCAAGTTGAGACAGAAGAGGAAGACAGGAGTAAAACGCAATTTCCAGAAAAAAAGAACAAGAAGGAAATTGCTAAGAATGAGGAGAAGACATTGAATATAAATGGAAAAGTTAAAGGACTGAAACAAGCCATGGAACTTGGGAGTTCGGGTCAGGCACAGCCTCACGGAAAAGACCAACCAGGGAAATCAAAAATGCTGTCGCTCAAAAGAAAAGACAATGTGTGGATTAAAACCGACTATCAGCAGGAAGCACACGAGATAAAAGACTGGAGAAAAGAACTTAAGACTGTCAGGAAGGACACTTGGGAGACTGAGAGGAAGAACGCTGACTGGACGAGGAAGGAAGCAAAGGCAGATGAGAAACGTAAGGAGGACTGGATAAAGGAGCTGAAGTCCGTCATCAAAGATGAATCTCTGCCCAAAGAGAAAAAAGAGCAAGTGAAGAAGAAACGAGTGGTGCTGTTGGAGGACGGCCATTCATACATGCCTCAGAAGGATGAGACGATCCTGGATTCAACAGACGAGGTCAAACTGATCTCTCACATTCCGTTGTCTACGGAGCGTTGGAACAGCCGGACGCTTCAAGATGAGGAATACAAGGTCTCCCTCTATGTGAAGGTGATGAATGACACACACCATCACCACCACAGACATAGCTAAGCTTCAAAAGTTTGATTTTCCATTAATTTGGACATTTTCCCTATGCAGTGGCATAGTTTGGTGTCTCCTCCCTTTCCGGCCGGCTCATGGGGCTCTGGAAAAACGAATGCAAGTCAACGGGGCTAAAAGGGCTATTTTCTAAACCGCTTTGCCTTACGCCCTGGATCGCACGTTATACTTCTATTTAAATGAATGTAATGATGGATGTTTCGACCACGCCAGTCACATACTTTGAGATTCATCAGTTCGTAAAAATTTGTATGCATGACAACAAATCAGACATCGGTACGTCGCATATATGACATCACCACAGAACTTCCTCTTCCCTAGCGTAGCCGCTAGTTACCACATGGTCAGATTTATGGTGGTTCTTTCCTCCTGAAGGCAGGACTTGAAGGTTGCTGAACTTACAGCCATTTTCCTTCTCTTTTCTCCGTTGTTTTTAGCCCCATTGACTTGTATTCTTTTTTTTTTTTTTTGGATGGGCGTGATTTAGGCTCCCCATAAAGAAGCTCTCAGCTTCACAAAGGTTGGCGACCCCTGACCTAGACTGTGATTGTGTAAAAATCATAAAGGACTGCTAAAAATCTCAACACACCATTCCTGAATCAGCCATTTGATTTGACTCATTTCATGCAAAAATTTGCCCAAGACAGCAGGATTGTGACTTTAATAGACAAACAGTTACAGTATAAAGGGGGTTCATTACTCATACATTGGCACCCCTAATATAATAAACATGATCAGTTAAGTAATTACAGTTTTTCTCAATCGCTAAAGCACAATTCCTGAAACCTTGCTCCCTTTTCTCAAAACATTAAACACTAAACCTCAGCTTCAAGCACGATTTACAAAACCTCTCGTTCCTCTTGCAAAATCAAACTTTCGCCTCAAAACAGTTTTAGCTGTGCTCAAAATCAAACACTACTCTCAAATCTTAAACAAATTACTCAAAATTACATACACCATCAAGCAGTCAGTAAACAATACACCAAAAAATAGAAAGCACAATGTTCAGGGCCATACAATTTGTTTATTGTACCATATACAGCCTGCAGTCCATTGTGCTACAGTGTTCAATGACAGTGAAAAAAAAATACATAAAATGAAAAACATCAAAGGACTAAACATGTTATCAATGGGCCTCTTCTTGCACTCTTAAGTCCTGCTTTCCTCATTGTCAGCCTATGGACAACAACATGGTCTATGATTGTTGTTCAAATTTCATTGGATATTTCCACTCTGTCTTGCTCTTCCTCTTCATCCTCCTCTTTCTCTTTCTTGCCCTCCTCCTCATCCCCCGCCTCGCATACGCACCCATCCTCTCACATGAATTCTTCTATCCATTGTCACACTTTCTCATTCCCACCTTCAACAACCTGTTTGCTCTCTGAACTTGCTTATATTGGTTGTCACATCATTTGAAACAAGTGAAATCTATTTTGACTGATTGTGTTCAGTCAATGACATTTGTGCTCTTGTTATGGGTAAATGTGCCACTTGTGTTTACTGTTATGGATGACATGTACATTAGAGTGCAGAATGTGTTTTAAGATCGAGAATGCATTTAGAGTTTAGCTAAACCGTGTGAAATTGTTTAAGGTTTTGACAACAGGCTCAACAGTTAGCTTAATGAGTTGTAGCAACTGAGAACTTTCTTCAGTCAATGGATTTTAGTGTTAAAGTATAGCAATTGAGAAAAACTGTATCTTTTCAGTGTATTTTTCTAATCCAATGGCACCATCTAGTGGCTGAAAAGCATACCACACAAAAAGTCTGTCGATCCGTTTTATTAAGATGGCGACTTCATGTTTCTTGTTTGTAGTTGCTTCTGTAGCCGACAAACAGAGCTAAAACACGTTGTTTTACAACAATTATTCTCATGTCATGTTGCATTTTCATATATTTATATTTTAAAGACTTACTTGTTCGTGAAAAGTACATCAACTCTGCATCAGCCAAGGTACTTCCTTAAATTTGAAGCACGTAAGCGATAGTCTAATGCTATTGGTTGGTTCTGGTCAGCGCAATTTCCTATTGCACCGAGCTCTGCAGGGCAGGGGGCGTGCTTAACAACACAAAAAAAAGATGTATTGCTTGCATTATATCACAGTACACGATAAGATAATCACTTTTACGAATTTCTGAAAAATCATACCTGATTTCTGAAAGGAGAAAACTCCAGAAAGCTACTGTAATACCCAGCCACTATGTGAATTACAGTCAAATGTACCTTTAAATCTAATCCCATTGGTTTTTGGTTTTGTCAGACATGAACAGACAGTGAGTGAGAGAGAAACCTTATCCTACACTCCTGATCCTATTAGTGACAACACTAGTCACATTAGCAATGTCTCAATGCAAACGACACGGTACTACTTCAAGCATTTGTGTGTCTGTTTAAACATACATCTGTATTTTCTCTAGTATAGCTCTGTTATTTAGAACTAATCAATTCATAAAATAGGGGATTAACTGAGAAGTTTAACTCAAACGGAAACATTCAGTAAAATCTGAGCTTTGCTTCATGCATTTGCACAACTTTTAGTCTGCTAGGAACAACAAAGACCTCCTTTGTCGGGGTCCCAGTTGGCAGCACAGACAGATGGAGACATTGCAGAATGACTGGTGCACTTGTCGCTGCATGTGTTTGAGTTCTAAAAGAGATCAGAGGAGGTTTCATCACTTGCACCAAGACTAAAGTCCACACACACACACACACACACACACACACACACACACACACACACACACACACACACACACACACACACACACACACACACACACACACACACACACACACACACACACACACACACACACACACACACACAGAAACACTGTTTGCTCAGTGGCGTGCCAGGCTGCAGGTAGCATACAACGCTAATCTCTACATTCTCACTGTTTAAGCTGATTAGCCTGTTTGGTGCTGGGAGCTTTTACTAAAGGGGTGCAGCTAACAGCATGAACCCACATATTATTAGTTAATTCAGCTACACTATGACCACTGTTGTCAGATCAACAAACTCAAGGTTCATCCAGTAAAACCTAATGAGTTATCATCATGCTTGGCCGATAAAAGGGCTTCTGTGAAAGTGATCTCTCCAGTAGTTTTGTGCTATGGCAATTTTGAGAAAATCTTGGAGGCACACGGGGTCCTGCCTCTTTTGGCTTAGGAATGATTCCAACCTGGCCGAAAGTTTATGGACAATAAATGCTTGTATGAATCTCACTTTCTATTTAACTGGCAACAGTGGAGGATTTAAGTGCCTGCCCACTACATGGAGTGTTGCAGGTTCATACCCCACACATGTTGAGTCCTTGGGGAAGACCAGCTGGTGGTAGTCGGATGGAAATGGCAACACCTAGTATTATGGCAGTCCCACCTCTATGGGTTAGCCCCAGGTCAGTTGTGGCTACTAATGCCAGTGAGTGAATGTTTGCTTGGGTGAATGACTGTTTTGTAAAGCGTCTTTAGGGGTCGAGGATGGGGGGGTTCTAGGGTTCTAGAAGGTGCTAAATAAACACCGGGCATTTGCCATTTGATTATGAGTCTTGTCAGGGGATTAAAACACATTAGTGTGGTTACCATGGTGACAAAAATGTGCCAGCTTGAACTTTAATTCTGAACTTGGCTCTCCTTAAGCTTGGTTTATGCTTGACGCGTCCGCGAGGTCTGCACCGCTCCGCGCGGCAAAATTGCGTCATTTTATGTTTATGTTTATGTATTTAGCAGACGCTTTTGTCCAAAGCGACTTACAAGTGATAATCGGCATTTTGCCCTTGAGGCTAACAACAATAGTAACAACAACAAATTGATATCAGTCATGGAGAGGAGGGAACAAGGAGTGGACAGTAGAGAGGAGGGACGGGTGCAGACAAGGTGCTAGTTAAGAAGATGCTCTCTGAAGAGCAGGGTCTTCAGGAGTTTAACAACCACGCCCCTCCACCGCGCTTCCGCACGGCCCAAACTTTCCGCACTGCGCACCTAGGAAATTTTCTAACCATGCGGACGGTCGGACGCGGAAAAACATGGCGGACTGGCAAGAACTAGTATGGCAGAGGTTCGTAAATACAGACATTTGTATGATTCAGCTCTCAGAGATCACCGTGATCAACATGTTGTTAATAATTCTTGGAGAGAAATAGCTCGCACTGTCGGAAAAGACGAGGACGCTGTTAAAAATGCTGGAATGCCATGTTGTAAACAACAGTAATCCGCAAGCCGCATCACCAAGCGGAAAGTGAATGCGTCAAGCATAAACCAAGCTTTAAGTCTAGTTTGTCTTTCTCCATCAGCTCGCGTTGCACACAAGCAATGATGGGAATGTTTATCACTCAGACTTTTCTGTTGCCTGGGGAGTGCTGCGAAGCTATTCCCCACCAGGACAACAGAAGGTGTAGCACTTTTCTGGGGGGTTCTACCATCATTGCAGTCACACCTCTGGTCCACGATAGTGCATTTACTTTATCGTATTGGTATTTCAGAGACTTTTTAACACACACATCTGTCCCTCATTCTCCTTCACCTCTTCATTCGGTTGGCCACCTCCAAATCCCCGTTTCCCGCAATTTCTGTCTGCAACTTTGTACTTCTTCAGTGAAGGATTGTACAAAAGTTCATATTGTCTGACTTCTTACACCTCTTACTCATCTTCTTCTCAATCCATGTGTGTTCGAACGGGAGATTTGCATCATGGCTGTGCAGTTGTCAAATCAGCAGAAAACTGCGTGATGCTATCATGTCAATATGGACCAAAATCCAGTGTTGAGAAAGGTTGTTTAAAAAACGAACTAGTTCAAAGTTCAGTTCATACATTTTAAAACAAACTAAATTGTTTCTTAGTTCATAATAAAAAAAATTTTGAACTAAGTTCAGTGTTCCAAAACCAAACTAGTTCACAGTTCTTTTTCTTCTCTCTCTCTCTCTCTCTCTCTCTCTCTCTCTCTCTCTC